TTCCCACATACTCCTGTCCAACCTGCTTGGGCCTGTGCTTTTACCACTGACCCACATCAGCCAGGGCCATGGTTGATTCTTGTATGTTCCCTGACTGAAAATTTATCGTGCAAACCTGGTGTATCGGGGAGGACACTAACCAAACAAGCTATATAGTCAGGATTCTAGAAAAAGTTACAGTGTCCACCCAAATGGGCTTCCAGGGAGTTGTGTTGGCGAGTCACTTTATGCTCTAGTTGACAGTTTGCTCTGCCTGCATCTCTGGAACAGACATATATGCTCGTGCATGAGCCAGTATCTGTCATCTGTCAGATAGAGCGGGAATTCGGTGACATTCCATTACTTGGCAGAGAGAGAGAGGTCTAGGGCTGGCTTGGAGCCCGTAGGGAAATGAGTTGAGCCCAGTTGATTCTCCCTTCTCATTCATAAACAGGCTGAAGAACTCAAATTGGCAACACAGCTGACCGGACCAGTCATGCCCATACGGAATGTAAGTAAAGGTGTTTGGATGATGCTCAAGTGAATATTTCTTGAGGTGGGGATAGGCTTAAGGTGGCAAGAGCATCCTGCACTCCCCCCACTCCCTTTATTTGTTGACAGTATTAATAGATATCCCCCAATTTCTCATTAAAGATGGAGGGCCTTGTCTTCTCTTTGAGAAAACTTGGGAGACCCATATCTCCTTTTCATCCTTCCATGTTGGGTTCATTTTCCCTCCTTGCTGTTTGGAAAGCTCATGGAGTATTTGGTGATTTTTGTAAACTGCCCATCAAGTAACTGGCCCCTTAAGGTTCCTCTGGGAGAGAGGAGGTGGGCCCAAGCCTTCCTTCGCTCAGATCTTTTGTGTCCAAGCACAGCACACTACCCATCCTTCGGGTATAAGGAGCTTGCTTCTGCCTCTGCTTTGAGTTTGGGTCCTTTTCTAAATCCAGAGGTTATCTTCCTTGGTGGCCTCCACGATCTCTCCAGGTTCTGACATTTGGGTTCTGAGCCTTGTCACAGGCCTTATTGTAAGTGAGACTTTGACCTCCTGTGCTTCCAGGTCTACAAGAAGGAGAAGGCCAGGGCCATCACAGAGGAGGAGAAGAACTTCAAGGCTTTTGCCAGTCTTCGAATGGCCCGTGCCAACGCCCGGCTCTTTGGCATCCGGGCAAAAAGAGCCAAAGAAGCTGCAGAACAGGATGTTGAAAAGAAAAAATAAAGTGCTGTTGGCAACTTGTGATAAATCTGTAGTCTCCATGTATCAGTCTGTATAAGGGATAGGTGTGGGGCCTGTTTTTCCTTAGGAGGGCCTGGGGGCTGGGCAGGGGATGAGGGTGTTCTTGTAAGGCAGCTCAGATGCTGGGTTGCATCCTACTGCCTGTATTTTAGGATTACTGTTTGTTCATTTGATTGAATAATCTGTGGCAAGATTACAAATACTAATTTTTCAAGTTGAGTTCCCTTTTTGGTTGATTAAACGAGAGTAGTTTCCAGTTATTTTAGTGTGTCTGGGCTTGTCTGCACCTCTGCTGTGCTGACTTGTATGTAGGCTTGCTTTGGTGCAGAAAATAATCCTCTGGCTGTCCCTGCTTGGCTGAGAAGTGGCAATTGGGAAGTTCAGCTGCTCCCCCCTGAGGGAGGCTGGAGCCCAGCCAAGTGTTCCCTTTGTGGGTACATGGTACCAAGAGGGTCTGGTTTCTCTGCAAGTGAGATCCTCAGCTAAGGCCCCATTCTTGTCCCTGTACTGTTCGACTTTTAACATTAAAATGTTAAAAGATGCGGATTTCAATGGAAGTTGTGTGTGACATGAAGATCAGCTGAAGTGGAGGAATGGGAACTTGAGCCTAAGGTGTGTCCAGCAATCCATATGTGGAGGGACTGCTTCTGAAGGGCCAAGTGGCACCTGTTCTGATACTTTGCTTAGGGCCTGGTGAGTTGGAATAGCTCTTGCTGTGGTCTTCACAGGCTTGGAGCACAGTGTTATACAAGACAGGCCCCCACTCCACTGCACTAGCACCTTAAAGTTCTGTCTTGGTGGGTAAAGGGAAAAAGCACCTGCCTCTCAGTGGCTTCTTCCTACAGTCACGTGCATGCCTGTCCACCTTCCACCCTGTGCCACCAGCTGTACTCCAGAGAAAAGGGTCTTAGCTCTCAGGACAGTCCTAGTGTGTGCAGTGCCAGTGAGACAAAGGCCTCCCCAGTGCAAGAATCTCATCCACCCAGCCTCTAGTATACATATAATGGAATACTTTTCAGCCTAAATGGGAAGAACATTGCAACATGCTACACCATGAATTGAGGACAGCATGCTAAGTGAAATAAGCCAATTACAAAAGGACAAATATTCCATGATTCCATTTATGTTAGGTAGCCAAAATTATAAGGGATAGAGAACGGAATGGTGGTTATTAAGGGTAGGGGGAAGAGGAGATTGGGGAATTAATGGGTATAGTATAGAGTTTCAGTTTTATTAGATTAAAAGCATTTATATTGGGTCTAGTAATGTCGTTTTTAAACATTCGTTTAAAATCTTGCTTGGCGTTGACTTGTATTGACATAACCTTCAAACACGTGGTATCTATAGAACGTGTGAAGTGCAATTAACAAGTTTTGCTTGAAAAAGTTTGTGTTTGGTTTGGTTTTTGTTGCAAAACTAGGGCTAAGAAGATGGCGGATGAAGAGCATATTCGGCACTGCATGCTTTACGAGTTCCAATTAGGAAGAAAAGCAAGTGAGGCTGCAAAAAACATCTGTAGTGCTCTTGGTCAAAATGCAGTTAGCGCCAGAAAATGCCAGCGTTGGTTTGAGAAATTTTGCGAGGGAAATTTTTTGTTAGATGACAATAGTAGTCGAAGCCGTGTGTCCAATTTTGATCAAGAAGCTTTTCAAGCTCTTTTGGTGCAAAATCCTCAAATTACCCAACAAGAGCTTGCGACAACTTTAAATTGTTCACAAAAAACAATTTCCAATCAATTGTGTGCACTAGGCAAAGTCCAAAAGTTTGGAAAATGGGTTCCTCATGAGTTGACCGACAACAACTGTAATCAGAGTCACAATTTGCAGTTCGCTCCTCTCTCGTCAAAACCGTTTGCCGTTTTTAGAGCAAATTGTTACCGGAGATGAAGAATGGGTGCTGTATGTTAATTTGAAAAGGCGGCCTCAATGGTTGGACAAAAATGAGGCTCCGCAGCCCACGCCAAAACCTGACTTGCATGCGAAAAAAATGATGTTGTGTGTTTGGTGGAATTTTAATGGAATTCTTCATTATGAACTTTTACCATCTAACCAAACCATTACAAGTGCAGTGTATAGTGCCCAATTGGAAAGGTTAGCCCAAGCTTTAAGAGAAAAAGAACACGCGCTGATTAATCGGAAGGGCATAGTTCTTCACCACGATAACGCACGACCGCATACTGCAAGAATCACTGCTGAAAAACTGCGCCAGTTGGAATGGGAAGTTCTCCCTCAACCTGCATATTGCCCCTTCCGATTACCATTTGTTTCATTCTTTACAAAACTTTCTTGGAAAAAAATTTAATAATGAAGAATGCCTCAAAAATGCATTGACCGAATTTTTTGCATCAAAATCACAAGAATTTTACAACAGAGGGATTAAAATGCTTCCTGAGCGTTGGGCACAAGTAGTAGAAAACAACGGCAACTATATTGTTGATTAAATTTTGTTGTATTGTTTAAATAAATTCGATTTAAAAAAGTATTATAAACGACATTAATTATTACTAGACCTAATATGCTGAAAGCGGTTTGGCTCAGTGGATAGAGCGTCAGCCTGATTCCGGTCAAGGGCATGTATCTTGGTTGCTGGCTCATCCCCAGTGGGGGGTGTGCCGAAGGCAGCTGATCGATGTTTCTCATCGATGTTTCTAACTATCTCCCTCTCTGTAAAAAAATCAATAAAATGTATTTTAAAAGAGTGAGAAAAGCATTTACATGAATGTACTTAACACTACTGAACTATACATTGAAAATAGTTTAAAAGTATATTTTATATATTTTGCCATAATTGAAAAAACAGGTGTATTATAACCTGCATGAGTACAGTAATAGGTTACTCCACATACACCATTACCCCCACTTCAAAGAGCAACCTTTCCCTCAACCCTCCTCAATGGAGTTTCCAGCCCCAGCTGCCCACTCCAACAGCCTCCGACAGGCCCTGGTGGGGAAGTGGATGTCCAGAAGTTTATTTCACACCCCACAGTCCCCCATGCCAAAGAGCCTGTCTGTTTCCAAGTCTCAACCTCCAAGTTTGCTTTAACTAGGCTTTTAAAAAATATATTTTATTGATTTTTACAGAAAGGAAGGGAGAGGGATAGAGAGTTAAAAACATCAATGAGAGAGAATCATTGATCGGATGCGGGATGCCTCCTGCACCCCCCCCACTGGGGATGCGCCTGCAACGAAGGCAACGTGCCCCTGACCTGAATCGAACCTGGGATCTCACCCTTCCTTTCCCTCCCCTCGCCCCCCTCCCCCAGTCTCCAGGTCGACGCTCTATCCACTGAGCCAAACCAGCCAGGGCTAACTAGACTTCTTAATGGCCAGATGACCAGCGAGTCTTTTCTATCTACGCCTTTGGCGCCCCTTTAAGTATACAATTTAATGTCTTTTAACAAATTTAAGAGTTGTGCAACCCTCACCACAGTCCAGTCTTAGAACATTTCCATCACCCCACTTAGCCTTTCTGAGGCCTGGGATCTTCATCTATAAATGGAAACAAGGCGAGCTTAGCACATAATAGGCCACCAACAAATTTTGCCTCTTATTGTACTTGCTGTGTTTATTATTTATTATTTTTTTACTTGCTGTGTTTAGATTGCGCAGCCAAGCCCTAGCCCTGTGATGCCCGCCATGCACAGCGTCCTCCGGCAGGGCAGGGGGCCGCGCCGGAGAAGGCCACTAGTAGGCGCTCAGTTCTGCCGACCGCCCCGCCCCGGGCGACCCCTGCGATCGCGGAATCGGGCCTCCCCAGGCGCCCTGGCTACGTCAGCGGGCGCGGCTCCGCGCTGGATTGGTGATGCCTGGGAGTTGCGGCGCCTGCGCAGAGGGTAGGGCTGCGTTCACTGGGCCCGGCCGTGGGCGATAACTCGGAGCGGGCCGGAGCGGGTGGTGGCTGTCCTGCCCCGACGGTCGCACCATGGCGGAGGAGGAGCTGGAGGCTCTGCGGAAGCAGAGGCTGGCGGAGCTGCAGGCCAAGCACGGGGTGAGCGCCGCCTGTCCGGCCTACTGCCCTGCGGGGCGCCGCCCTCGCCCGAGGTGGAGGGCTCGGCCCCGGGCTGCGGCTCTGGGCGCCTCGGCCGGGGCTCGGCCGCTGGCGGAGAACCCGCGGCTGCCCCCGAGGCCGTCCTGGGCCGCCCCACCCTTACCCCCACCCCGCCCATCGCCTGGGTGTGGGGCGGCGCCCAGCCGCACGTGCTCTCCGCGTTGGGGTGGGTCCGGCCCGGGGCCTCTCGGGCTGGGTTGGGCTCGCCTCAGAGGTCTCGGTTCGAAGCGGAATGCTTGGCTCCTCGGGTCTGTATCCTTAGCTTTGAGATCTGGCCTGTTTCCTCTGCTGGTTCCAGCGGGATTGTTTTCTAGAATTCTGTCCCACGTAACCGACCATTGGTTGAAGGTCCGCTGTGCGTCCCGTCTCCTGTGAGGGAGTGACGGTCCGGGGAGGAGCCAGACACCGAACGCGAGTCCCACAGACACAGTCCTCTAGTGAGGACTGAATGGCTGTGATAGGGGTCGAACGCGATCGTCTCCAAGGAGGTGCCATTGGAATCAGCGTCCCCAGTGTCCTGCACGTTCCCTCCCCGCCCCCCCGAACTTATTCTTAGCACATAAAGTGCGGGTTCATTGTACAGGGACTCCCCTTCCCAATGGTTGTTTGTATTCCAAAACATTCTATTAGATTGTGACTTTAGAAGCTTATCAAAACATTTATTAAAATTGTTACATTTTCATTGATTTTAGAGAGGGAGAAGCATCAATTTTGTTATTCCACTTATTTGTGCATTGGTTGATTTTTTTTTTTTTAAATCATCACCGGAGGACGTGATTTATTGATTTTAGAGCGAGAGAAAGGTGGGGGGCGGGGATGGGGAGGGAGAAAAAAACTTCGATGTTCGGCTCCCACCGGGGATCAGATCTGCAAACCTAGGTTATGTGCCCTGAATGGGAATTGAACATGCAACCTTTTTTTTGTTAATCCTCACCCGAGGATATTTTTCCCATTGATTTTTAGGGAGAGGACGAGAGGGAAAGGGAGAAACTGGGTGTGGGAGGAACACATGCATTGGTTGCCTTCTGCAAGGGCTGGGGAAGAGCTTGTACGGAGATAGGTGCCCTTGACAGGAATCCAACCAGGGAGCCTTTGCTCCATGCACTGGGCCAGACTGGCTAGGGCTTAAGAAGTGGAAACTATCCCACTGACTTTTTGGAGGCCCAGCTTTTAATTATTTGTCAATAAGTTGATCTCTACCACTGCAGGAGCCTATTATCAGAAACAGGTCAGAATAATTGTATTTTTCCTCTGTGTATTTAGTTACTCAACTAAAAGATAAAATTATATTTCCAGGATCCTGGAGATGCAGCACAACAGGAAGCCAAGCACAGGTATGGGCTGGAGATCTGAAGGGTGGTTTCACCAAATGCTTTTTTACTTTAGTTATTTTAATAGTGTGTTAATCTAAGTTTTTCCTGGAATAGTGATTTTTTCCTAAATCATCAGGGTATTGTTATTAAATTGAGAGTTTAAATGTATAGAATATCACAGCTCTTACTACCTTGTTAATGCAATTACTGGTTGCTGTTTGTTTCTCTGCTATTATAAACTGTGACTGCTTTAAAATGAATATAATGCTAGGACTGCATCACAGGAATGCTGTGAGGGTTACAGGGGTCCAGGACCTTGCATTTAAATTCTGGGTAAATACTAACTGTTAATTGTATCCTGGCACATGGCGTGTTTATTGAATGGTTAGTTATCCCATCATGCTACCTTTTTCTAACTGTGATAAAAGAACACATAAGATGAAATTTCCCATAACAAGTGTAAGTGTATGAGAATAATGTTATATTCTCATTAGTATGCAACAGATCTCTAGAACATTTTTATCTTACAAAACTGAAACTCTATACTTATTGAACAACTCCCCATTTCCCTCTTTCTCCATCATGCCACCTGTTAACTCATCCAGCAAGTATTTATTGAGCACCTGGTCTAGGTCAGGTGCTCCGCTGGGTCTTTGAAAATGGGCAGGGCAGAGAAGGGTCCTGCCCGTACATGGTTTGTGTTAATGCGGGAAGAGAGGTGGTGAGCACCTGGGATAGTGCTAAGAAAATGAAACTGTGAATTCCATTGATTCTGAGATGGACCTTTTTTCACATTTTAACATATCTGAAATTGGGGTGATTTTCATAATTGATCACTATTGTCCTGGATTCTTCCAGAGAATTTACTTTTGCTTCTGCTACCACTTGGGTACATTTCTAATCTGAGACATCTTAAAGTTAAATTCTCTGTTTAGGGTTCCCACTCCCTCCACCCTGACAGCATGAATTCAGACAGCAAACTTGCATGACTAAAGCTTGAAGTAAAAATTCTCAAAGGAACTTTTCTTCCTCCACTCAGAGCCAAGTTTGATGCATGCATCCTTTTTTTTTTTTTTTAAATATGTTTTTATTGATTTTTTACAAAGAGGAAGGGAGAGAGCGAGAGAGCTAGAAACGTCGATGAGAGAGAAACACCAACCAGCTGCCTCCTGCACACCCCCCACCAGGGATGTGCCCGCAACCAACGTACATGCCCCTGACCGGAATCGAACCTGGGACCCTTCAGTCCGCAGACCGACGCTCTATCCACTGAGCCAAACCGGTTTCGGCGATGCATGCATCCTTACTTGCTGCTCCTTTCTGCATGGCAGGCTTAGTTGTTTTTAAAAATAAATTTTATTGATTTTTTACAGAGAGGAAGGGAGGATAGAGAGGTAGAAACATCGATGAGAGAGAAACATCAATCAGCTGCTTCTTGCATACCCCCCACTGGGGATGTGCCCGCAACCCAGGTACCGGTACATGCCCTTGACCGGAATCCCACCCAGGACCTTTCAGTCCGCAGGCCAACACTATCCACTGAGCCAAACCGGTTTCGGCCTGGCTTAGTTCATGTTTACCTTGTATGTGGTTTTGCTCTCTGATGCCCGAGCTTTAATGTGGGGTCTCTTTTTTATTTTTTATTTTTTATTGATTTTTTACAGAGAGGAAGGGAGAGGGATAGACAGTTAGAAACATTGATGAGTGAGAAACATCAATCAGCTGCCTCCTGCACACCTCCTACTGGGCATGTGCCTGCAACCAAGGTACATGCCCTTGACCGGAATCAAACCTGGGACCTTTCAGTCCACAGGCCGACGCTCTATCCACTGAGCCAAACTGCTCAGGGCTAATGTGGGGTCTCTTATTAGACTCCTCATCTAGGGTGGGTTTTTTTGTTCCTAGAAGTAGGTATCACTGTGGTCCATCTTACAATCAGTGGTATCTTAGACTCAGTGGGATATAGTAACAGTAGTTTACTGCAGGGTTGAATTGAAGTCCTCAGGTGCAATAAGGAAATGCCCCATGGAGGTGGGCTTCAGGTTGTGTTACACGAACCCTAGGGCTCCTCCGATGGTAGGTAGTGGCCCTGCCAGCCCAGCTCCCTCAGCTCAGTTAAAGAACTTCTGCTTTTGTCTGTGTTGAGTATTAAGTTCCTTGAAGGACTCACTTAAAAAATTTGCTGCTACCTAAAGTTTGAAACCATTGTCCTATGAACATGAACTAGTTTCTACTTGTATAGGTAGGAGTGTAAGGACAGTTGCAGTTAAATTTCACTCACCCTCCTCACCCAAAAACATACAACTGAGAGTCTTGGAATATGGATTTGGTTCTAGCTTGGCCACAACTACCTTATAGCTTCCCTAGATGTCTCAGCTTTTTTATTTTTATTTTTTTAATTTTTTAATGTTTTTATTGATTTCAGAGAGAGGGGGAAGGAGAGAGATAGAAACATCAATGATAAGAGACTCATTGATTGGCTGCCTTCTGCATGTGCCCTGACTGGGAATTGAATCTTGAACTTTTGGTTCATCTGTAAACGCTCAATCACTGAACCACACTAACACAGATTAATCATTTGGTCCTTTAATTGTTGGAAATCTCACTGCAGATTTCTAGCACTTCTCACACACTAAATGCATAATAAATGTTAGAGTGGTTAAACTGAAACTCCACCATGAATTATGAAAATGTAAGGTTTTATCTTTCAACGTGGTAGGTTTACACCCACACAACAATATAAAGCTGGCTTTTGAGGGCAAGAGTGGCTTCTTCAGTAATAACAGCTGTGCCATCCATGTAGCACCTACTGTAGTGCGTTCCATACATGCAGTAACCTTCCATCTTGGGAAACGTATTGAGTGAGTTACATTTTTGTGTGTTCAATAGGAATGCTGACAGCTTAGTTCTAATTTTGCTTGACCTGTTTTTATTGTAGAGAAGCAGAAATGAGAAACAGTATCTTAGCTCAAGTTCTGGACCAGTCAGCCCGGGCCCGGTGTAAGCACTTTCAGTTTCTTTTAAGTTATTTCCATAAAATTGGCTTGGGTTAGTCGAATGGGGAGATATGAAATTATTGCTATCTCTAGGTTAAATATTTATTTAACCTATAAACACTTAAAATATAGATATTTATAAGAAATATGCTGTTTGTAAACCTAAAGAAATGGACTTAAATTATTATTTTTAAAATATATTTTATTGATTTTTTTTAGAGGAAGCGAGAGGAATAGAAACATCAATGAGAGAGAAACATCAATCAGCTGCCTTTTGCACACTTCCTCCTGGGTATATGCCCACAACTAAGGTACATGCCCTTGACCGGAATTGAACCTGGGACCCTTCAGTCCACAGGCCGATATTCTATCCACTGACCCAAACTGGTTAGGGCTGGACTTAAAAATTATTAAATATACCTGCTTGGTTCTCTCCTATCAAGGAGATAATTTCCCAAGTGCTTATTAGGTAAAATATATAGCCAACAAGTCTTAAGTCAATTACAAAGTGTTGCTGGTAGTTGACATATGTAATAGGAGATTGAGGGGCTTATTTATTTATTTTTGGAATTCTTTTAAAAACATGTTTTTATTGATTTTAGAGGGAGAGGGATAGAGAGATTGAAACATCAGTCAGCTGCCTCCAGTGTGCCTCCTGGGGATGTGCTCTGACTGGGAGTCCAACCACTGACCTCTTGATTTAGATCTTGGTTCATGGGTTGATGCTCAACCTCTGAACCACACTGGTCAGGCTGAGTTCTTTTTTTAAGTTAATTTTGCCTGGCTGGCGTGGTGGTTGAGCATGGACCTATGAACCAGGAGGTCATGGTTCGATTCCCAGTCAGGGCACACGCCTGATTTTCAAGCTCCATCCCCAAAGTGGGGCGTGTAGGAAGCAGCCCATCAATGATTCTCTTCCATCATCGATGTTTCTCTCTCTCTCCCTCACCCTTCTCTAATATCAATAAAAATATATTAAAAGAAAAAAAAACTTTATTAAAAAAAATGAAGTTAATTTTATTTTTTCCATTGCCCTTTAGCCTTCTATGGCTTGAGAGATTTATTGTATTCTCCATTTTATTTAGTAATTTTTCATATTTAAAAACCAAAGAGAAAACCATGTAGAAAATATAGTATCTTGAAGCCTCGCTTAGAATAGGCAGTCTAGATAGATACTGATTATATCTGAGGTAATATGAAACATATTTTCCAGAGGGCAATCATACATATTTTTAAAAAGCATGGGGCTTAGACTCCAAGGAACCAAGTTTAATTTTGGCTCTGCCACTTCTTCTGTGTGGCCTTGACTGAGGTTGACATGGCTGAACTTTAGTTTCTTCATTTTTAAGAGGGTAACAATACTTCCTGCCATGCTACTTTCAAGACAAATAAGTCTGAAGTGCTTTGGAAATGTTGGTGCTTAGTTTTGTTACAACATAAGTGCATTTAGTTTTGACTTTTTTTTTTGTATTTTTTTTTTAGTAAGTAACTTAGCACTTGTAAAGCCTGAAAAAACTAAAGGAGTAGAGAATTACCTTATACAGATGGCAAGATATGGACAACTAAATGGGAAGGTAAGCTTAGGACTGCCTTGAGGTAGTTTTACCTATTGTGTACTTTATCCAAGCATGTCTTCAAAAGGTCAGGTCCACTCTGGCCAGGTAGCTCAGTTGGTTAGAGCACCATCCTGATATGTCAAGGTTGTGGGTTCAATCCATGGTCATGGTACATACAAGAATGAACCATTGGCTATGATAAGGGGAACAACAAATCAGTGTGTGTGTGTCTCTCTCTCTCTCTCTCTCTCCCTCCCTCCTCCTCTCTTATCCCCCCTCTCCCTCTAAAATTCAGTTAAGGCCAGTTTCATCTTCTGGTTACAGAAATCTTATTGACTATTTTTTATTTCTTTATGTTTAAATATGATTTCATTGATTTTTAGAGAGAGGAAGGAGGAGGGAGGGAAACAGAAATCAGTGTGAGAAACAGAATCATACCTTTTGGTGCATGGATGACACTCAACCGAGTTACACTGGCCAGGGCTCTGTTAAAAAAATATGTTTATTGATTTCTTTAGAGAGAGAGAGAGAGAAATGATGTGAGAGAGAGAACATCAATTGGTTGTTTTCCATATGCACCCTGACGGGATCAAAACCCCAACTTGGGTATGTGCCCTGACATGGAATCCAACAGGTGACCTTTTTAGTGTATGGGACAACGCTCAACCAACTGAATCAACCAGCCAGGGCTTGTTGACTATTTCAAGGAGAGAACATTTTTCATCAATATTGAGAGAGAGGGAGAGAGAGAGAGAAACATTGCAATGAAAGAGAAACATCAGCCAGTTGCTTTCCATACATGCCCCGACTGGGGACTGAACCAGCAACCTAGGCATGTGCTTTGACTGGGAATTCTGAGTCCTTTTGGTGCACGGGAGGAAGCCCCGACCAACTGAGGGAGCCACACTGGCCAGGCCTCAAGGAAGGAATTTTTATTTTTTATTTTTGTAGGCTTTATTTTTTATTATTATTATTTTTTAATAAATTTTTATTCATATTATTACAAATGTTCCTTTCCCCCCCTTCTCACCCCACCCTCTGCCCTTTCCCCACCCCCCACTGTCCTCATCCATAGGTGCACAGTTTATGTTCAGTCTCTTCCCACATTCCCCTCTCCCCTTTTCCCCAAGAATAAACACTTCACTCCAAGGAAGGAATTTTTAAAGGTGAGAATAGTTGGATCTACTCTAAAAGATATCCTAGTTGCCTTTCCCAAGATCCTCTGCTATGTTTCTTTCCTGACATTGTGGAACCTTGTTGATGTCTGTGTGACCCATGACTATTAGGGTCAGCTGGCTTAAAATGCTTTCATACTGGAAACGGTTTCTCAATAATACAGATTAAGTCAGGGAGGTCAGTTGTTTGGAGCGTAGTCCCAAAATGCCAAGGATGCCAGTTCGATTCCCATGGGTTCAATTCCAGGACAAGGCACATATGAGAATCATCCATGAATACATAAATAAGTGGAACAACAAATCGATGTCTCTCTTCTTCTCTCAAATCAATTAAAAGAATAAAAACTGATACATTAATAGAATAGGTAGACATTAAACTTGTTTTGCAAATGAGGAGGTGCTAAAATTCCTGGTTGTGTGTGTGGCGAGAATGTCCAGGGTGCAGATGCACCCGTCTGCACTGGGAAGCCCTCTGCTGCCACCACGGCCTGCGCCCCTTACTCTGAGAATGGTGTGGAAGAGACCATGACTGGTTCATCTTTTTTGAGTGACTTATCTGCTGCATTTAAGCTTCTCAGGGCTTAAGAGCAGAGTCAGTGTCTCTATCATTGCTACAGTAGAGGGTTGTAGGTGGCTGCCTATGTCTGCTAGCGGTGATAAAGGTGTTCTTTTTAAAAATATATTTTTATTGATTTCAGGGAGGGAGAGGGAGAGAGAGAAACACCAATGATGAGAGAGAATCGTTGATTGGCTGCCTCTTGCACACCCCCTACTGAGGATCAAACCCGAAACCCAGGCATGTGCCCCTGGCCTGAATTGAACCTAGGACCCTTCGGTTTGCAGGCTGATGGCTCTATCCACTGAGCCAAACCAGCTAGTGTGATAAAGGTGTTCTTGGATTTCTCTGAGGACCTTAAGTGATGTTCCTCCTCTCCCCCCTCAAATGACTAGCAGAGCAAATTCTATTTGGCACTTAAAACTAATACAGGCATACCTGGGAGATATTGTGAGGCTGGTTCCAGACTACCGCAATAAAACTAGTCATAATCTTTTTGCTGGAGCGTCTTGCTTTCATTTTGTAAAACGTACCATGTTCTGTGAAGTGCAATAATGGGAGGCACAATAAGACGAGGTATGTCTATAGTTGTAACTGGTAGTTTTGACCTCCTGTCCCACCTCTCTTCCCTTTGACCTCTACCTCCACACCCGGCAAGACTGAAATGCTTCAATCTCCTGAAGTCAGTTCTTTGATTACAAAAAGAACTTTTTCTTTTTGGTTATCCTAGGTAACAGAACAAGGTTTAATAGAAATCCTTGAAAAAGTAAGCCAACAAACAGAAAAGAAAACCACAGTTAAAGTAAGTTTCCCAAATAAACCTGGCAGAAGAGAAATATTGGTATTTTAAATGTTGTGTTGAATATACATCTACTGTATCAAAATATTTCAGCCCGTAGACATTTCCATTTTGTAACACCTGGACATTTGTGGGGCAGGCTGCATATATTGAGGGGTCTCATTTTTAAAAAAAAATATATTTTATTGATTTTTTACAGAGAAGAAGGGAGAGAGATAGAGAGCTAGAAACATCGATGAGAGAGAAACATCGACCAGCTGCCTCCTGCACACCCCCTACTGGGGATGTGCCTGCAAACCAACGTACATGCCCTTGACCGGAATCGAACCTGGAACCTTTCAGTCCGCAGACCGACGCTCTACCACTGAGCCAAACCGGTTTCGGTGAGGGGGGGTCTCATTTTTAAGGCTCTTGTTTCATTATATTTAAGACACTAAGTTGTTTTAAAGACAGACAAAAATGTTTTGCTGTAGTAGTTAGAGGTATTTCTTCTCAGAAAATCTGAGTTGTGCTTTATTAAACGGGTAATAACACTTGTTTAATCTCCCTCCCCCCCAGTTCAACAGAAGAAAAGTAATGGACTCTGATGAAGATGACGATTATTGAATTTAAGATGCATAGACTCTGGAACTTAATGGAACAATTCCAGGACAGATAATACTTGGCAGTTAAGATCTGATTGAATGTTCGCTTTGTTTATTGTTTATATACTTTTAGAAAAGTAAACTTGTTATGTAAAATAAACAATTTGGGCAAAGTCATTTTAGTACTGTAGCTGAATCAACAGAAGATCTGCATTTTGCATTTTTTCCTTTTCTACCAAAAACTTTTAAATGTGTAGCAGCATGGCCAAGCAGAAATAGAAGCTGCTTGAGTAGGCTTCAGTAAGAACAAAATAGCATCCAATAATGTCATGGGAGTTAAAACCTGTGGATTAAGCTAAGTCAACTTTAATATCTAGTATTCCTAAGACATAGGTTCTGAAAGCAGATGAGCTATTTTTCTCCCTGCAGATAGTACTTACATTTAATGTAAGACTATTTTTAGCTTTGGTTTCATTTATAATCTGCTTTTCAAAAGCATCGAGGTATATTAAATTATCTAATAAATATTACCCTTATCCAAAAAACCTCATAGCTAGAGTGACACTTCCATTGAAAAAAACTCCTAAAATAGGAAATATTGGTAACAGTTCAACAATAATAAACATGTCTGTAAGTAAGAGAAATAACTTCTAATGATTAAAATCTAGTTGAGATGGCTTAAAAACAGTTACCTTTTTACCTAGCTGGCTTGGCTCCGTGGCTAGTGTCAGCCTGCTGACCGAAGGGTCCCAGGTTCAATTCCAGTTAATTGAATTGATCCCCAGTGAGGGTTGTACAGGAGGCACCCAATCAATGATTCTCTCATAATTTATGTTTCTCTTCCCCTCTTCCTTCTTCTCTGAAATTAATAAATTAATATGAAAAAGCATTGTCTTATAAATATATATATAAAATAAAAATAGTTACCTTTTGGTAGAAATATTCTGGGTTCTTCACTGATAAAACTGCAGGTAACTTAAAGCAAATATCATCTCTTGTATCATGCTTCCCTCCCACTAGGTTATGAAAACTGCTCATAAGTTTAAAGTGAGCTGTTTGGTGTAACCTTTTAAATATCTTAGTTCTGTGAGACCCAGCCCAGGAGGAAGTTATAACACTTAATGAGATGAATAGAATTAGAAGCGAAAAGTGATAGGAACTGTGGTTTACAGTCCAATCTGTATATTTAAACTACATTTGAGAGTTTACTCTATTAGAGACCAGAGATTTGTAACTAACTGTATAGTTAATGAAGAAAGTCAGTGTTGGCATGAAGTGTCTAGAATTCCTGAATGAACAAATGAATGAGTAGAACCATTAAGAACATCAAGATTTTTTAAAAAGGAATTTAAAAAAATTTTCATCAAGGATTTTGAAAAAACAAAACATAAACCAATTACAGGTAAATTTTGCTTTAGTTCTCATTTACATAAAAATGCTGGAGAGAGATTTGTTACATGCTTTCTTGCAGAATAACCACTGTCCTAATGGCAAGTTAAGTCAATGGGTTGTTTTGTTCAAAAGGATGAAAAATGAGTCAAATTAGCAGAACAACAGTGCTCATTTCCTGTGTAGGCTAAGAAGCTGTAATATATTCATTTTTGTTCTTCTGATTTTAAAAGAAAACAGTTTTGGGGCACTATGCACTATATCTAATATATTGCCAGCCCTAGTCCAGGTAGATGGGTAGCGATCTCTGAAAGATGCAGTTTATGTTTCAGTCACAGTCACACCTGTAACTGAAAAATAAAATGTATATCCATCCAATGGGGGAATATTTTACCACACACACAGCACATGGTTATAGCAGAGAAGCTTAGAAACATATATTCTCTATAGCAGCACATTAAAAAAAGTCACCATGACACACTCAAGAATCATAAAGTTTACTGTTTCTTTTCCATTATTTGGCACATACCCAAGGCACATTAGAAAATTAGAAGTCATAAATTATTTTGTAGAAAAATAATCAGTCCCTCCCTTTTGTACATACACAAGTATTTCTAAGAACATGCACAAAACCTTTCCCTATTAAAAGTTATTTGAAAATGTACTCAGGATAAACCCATGTTTTGGATCTAAACCAATTAATAAAAAAATAAAAGTATAATTAGTAGAAACTCATAAAAAGGAATAAGTGGCAATAATTTCTAACTAAAGTTACTTTGACCTGGTTTGTGCTGTAAGTTTTGAAACTGATCAAAAGACAATAAATCCCTGGCCGGACTAGCTCAGTTGGTTAGTGTTGTCCCCATATTCAAAGGTTGCAGGTTTGATCCCTAGTCTGGGCACATACAAGACTCAACCAATGAATACATAAATAAATGAAACAACAAATTGATCTCTCTCTCTCTCTCTCTCACAAAAATAAAAACTAAGAAAAGATGTGCCAAATCTATTTTCTATTACCACCATCCTTCAAGGGTGACAATTAAGGAAAGGTTCTTAACAGAAAGGGATGTTTCTCAGGTGCACATGTGCAGTGACCAAATAGCTGTATTTTGTTGTAAGACAAAGTATACCCACCTTTTCCCAGTGTAGAATAGATTTTATATGTCCTTTTTACGAAAATGAACATCAAAATGGCATTTAGGCATCTTTGAGTTCAAGTGTTGCTTTTCAAAGGAACATTTTCCAGGTCCTATTTTCTTCATTCAAATGTGACATTTCTGCCCAGCCTCCATCTATATATATAAAAGCCTAATATGCAAAGTGTCCCCTGGGGAGTTCCAGAGACCAGGAATTTGATTGCTTACTATGATGTGTGCTGACCACCAGGGGGGCGGTGTGGAACAAAGGAAGGCCCCGGCTGGCAGCTAGCAGCCACTAGGGACCCTACCAGTGCACAAATTTTGTGTACTGGGCCTCTAGAAGTACCATAAAACTTAAATTACTTGTCTTCAGGTCATCCCAGGTGGAAGAATTCTTTTAGCTTGTGGTTTGTTAATTTATATAGGTGACAGAAGTTTAGCACCTTTCAGTAGGAGGTCAGATCTGGTGATGAAACATCTCGCTGTAACCAAGGCACCCTAATACTTAAGAGTAAACATCTCTAGCTGGGTAGCTCAGTTGGTTAGAGCACTGTCCGACATGCCAAGGTTGTTCATCTCTGGCCAGGGCACATACAAGAAGCAACAACTGAATATATAAACAAGTGGAACAACAAATAGATGTTTTTCTTCCTTCATGTCTCTCAAAAGCAATAAAAAAAATTCTTTAAACAAGAAACACCCGAGCCCTAGCCAGTTTGGCTCAGTGGATAGAGCGCTGGCCTGTAGACAGAAGGGTCCTAGGTTCGATTCCAGTCAAGGGCACATGCCTGGAATCGTTGCAGGCTCAGTCCAATGTGCAGGAGGCAATCAATGATTCCCTTGCATCATTGATGTTTCTCTCTCCCTTCCTCTCTGAAATCAATAAAAATATATAAAACAAAACACCCAAGTCTTAAGGAACTGACACCCCTGGAATTTTTGTCTATTCCTTTTCAAGGGCATTCATTAGCTCTGAAGAGGAAAGGGATGGTGATTTTTTTCTTTGTTGTATTCTTTGAGCCGCAGGAAAGCTTTCAGGAACTTTCTGCTTTCTCTTAAGCCAAACAGAAAGTACATTCAGTTCTATGCTGTCTGTATTCATGGTCGGCATCTTCTCATTAAGGATTCACTTCAGATAGCAAATGTAATTCCTTATTACCATCAAGACTGGGGAATACTAGCCTCGTGGGGAGCTGCTCTGGGCCTTCGGAGCAGCTGCGTCCCGGACAGTGTGTCTCCGGAGCGTTCGCCTGTTCCCAGGCGCGGCTTGTTTCAGTCCGGGCCTCAGGCTGCTCACCGTCTCCTCTGTCAGCAGTCTGCAAGGTGCTCTGGGTCGATAGGTTCTTTTGCTTCTGTGCAACCCTTTGCCTTCCTGGCTAGAGAGAAGGTACAATTTGAAAGTTCACATGTGTGCAGTACTTTAAACCACCACCATGACAATAACACCTACCTTTGAGAGCTTGTATGTGCTCATACTTTCCAGACATAATTATTATTATTATTTTTTAAATATATTTTATTGATTTTTTTTACAGAGAGGAAGAGAGAGAGATAGAGAGTCAGAAACATCGATGAGAGAGAAACATCGACCAGCTGCCTCCTGCACAACCCCTACCGGGGATGTGCCCGCAACCAATGTACATGCCCTTGACCGGAATCGAACCTGGGACCTTTCAGTCCGCAGACCGATGCTCTACCACTGAGCCAAACGGGCTTCAGCCAGACATAATTATTTTAAATCCTCACCTGAAGATACTTTTTCCATTGCTATTTAAAAAAAATTATTTTATTTTAAAATATATATTTTTGATTTTTTTACAGAGAGGAAGGGATAGGGATAGAAAGAACATCAATGAGAGAGAAACATCGGTCAGCTACCTCTTGCATGCCTCCTACTGGGGATGTGCCCACAACCAAGGTATAACCTTGACCAGAATGGAACCTGGGACCTTTCAGTTTGCAGGCCGATGCTCTATCCCCTGAACCAATCCAGTTAGGGCTCCACTGCTATTTTTAAAAAAATATTTTTTATTGATTTTAGAGAGGAGGAAGGGAGACAGATAGAAACATCAATGATGAGGGATAAAGCATTTATGTAGTATCTAACACATGGAACATGTACATGCAGAATTGTCTAAATGAGCAACTGTATACCATATTGAGAGAACTTTTTTACTCATTTATATACAAACTTAGTTTCTTCTTTTCATTAATGATTAACATATTAGCAAATTTGTTTAGTGAAAGTTGAGAGATTTTACCAAGTATGCACCCCATGAACTGCAATGTCTTTCCATGAATATAACTATTTTCCACTTTTTCTTCACTTTCCTTTCTTAATTCAGAAATGCATTATTAAATACAACAGTAAATGACTTCTATACTTTTGACCTTGCCACTAAAGAGCTCATTTTGTTATAGTGAGGGGAATAATGAAATGAGAAATGTGTTTACCATGAATTAGTTTTTAAAAAGCCAAACTTTAAAAAATATTATTATAATCCAATGTTTAATAACTCACCTCACGTAAAGACTCTTCAGGGATATTAGTGACACTTTTATCTCTTGCCATAATCTCCCTTGAAGTCCTTCCCCTGAAATCCAAAACAAATTTAATGTTTGAGATAGTGTTGCAAAACACTGTGGTTGGCCACAAGATGGCAGCATTTGATGAGAGCATATTTGTCTATAACCTATTCAAGCTGCACATAATGCTTAAGTTTTCAGTAAAGGTAGGGTCAAAAACAGACTTCAACTCAAATTTTATACTCACTTAAACTGACCAACTGAGGGGACAAAGTAAAACTGTCTTGTAAAAGGTTCATCTTGTAGATTATACATTTTTGAGTTCCCTGCAGATAAAAGGATAAACATTTGAAAACTTCCAAATAATTTAAGAATTAAAAAAAAAAAATTATGGCATAGATATCACTTTCATAGATATCACTTTTCATAGATATCATTTCAATTTCTTACTTTAACAACATTTTGAAAATTAAGCAATGCGTGCATGTACTTAAAGAAACATTTATTACTCTGTGAACCCCCATGAAACAAAGATAAATCCTTAATACACTAATACTCCCTCGCCACAGCCCTGAGATAGCTTTGGGATTATTCAGATATGTGTGTGGTTTATTCACATATTTGCACTGCAAACTCATATTGTAATTAAAACAAAACGTCTAAACTATCACAAGTTACAAAAAAAAAAGGGGGGGGGTGAGGGAGAAAATACTGCAGCCTTATCTGTTGGGCAAATGCTGTTCTAATTACCATCAACCAAAAAAAAATTATTTAAAGGTAGCATCTACCCTGATGTTCAGGAAATGCCTAGAAAAAGGACTGGCTTTGGAACATGAGACATGAAAGAAACTACCAGAGGTTGCTCCTCTCCAGTTGGTGAGTGGAGGAGGCCTGACCTTGAAGGTAATGCGAAGATTCATCATCTCAACCAACCAGAACACTAATACAGAAATATCTGATAAATTAGGGTGTAACATGTATTTCTTCGGGCCTATCTCCCCTCAGTCAGGATTATAATTACATTGTACATTTACAATGAAATGAAAACCAGCAACTACTCATGAACTTCCAATAACCCAAGTTGAGAATTATAGAAAGAAGTTCTTACATTTTTTCCTGATCTTCACGGTAACGTACTCCTTGTGGTCTGTTTCGCCAACTTCATCTAACGTGGCCACACAGCTTGGTACTACCTGAAGTAATTCCATTATTTTTGAATTCTATAATTTGAAAGGGAAAAATTAACAGTAATATTTTTTTTATTATTTTCAACAGTTAATTGCCTATTTTTTATATAAATGTCAGTATTAGGATAGCTGGACAGCAGAGCTAAGAAAAAGCAACTACAGATGAAACTTTGAGGCCATAGTGTAAAGCAGCCCTACACTCGAAGCCAGGCTCCGCCCTCTGCTAGGCACTCAGGGTGAGCACTTGGCTGCTCTGTGCAACTAGGCTGACAACAATGGGATCGATAATTTTAGTTATCAAGAGGCTATCCAAGGCCCAGCACATAGTAAGTCCTCAATAAAAACATTCATCAGAATGTTTGAGAAAGTGCTCAACTAAAAATTTAAAATATGTTGCCGAAACCGGTTTGGCTCAGTGGATAGAGCGTCAGCCTGAGGACTGAAAGGTCCCAGGTTCGATTATGGTCAAGGGCATGTTCCTTGGTTGCGGGCACATCCCCAGTTGGAGGTGTGCAGGAGGCAGCTGATCAATGACTCTCTCATCGATGTTTCTAACTATCCCTCTCTCGTCCTCTCTGTAAAAAATCAATAAAATATATATTTAAAAAAAATTTAAAGTCAATACTGTTAAGAAATGTCTGAAACTTAAAATTCATTGAATAAGTCTATGAGTATGTTGGCTTTCTGTGACTTTAACATGTCAGTAGTATCATTTAACAGCCTACTAGTTGTCTACCCAAGTGGGCGACTAGATAAAGATTCAACATGAAAACAGGAACAGTAAACATGGTAAACATGGCGGCACTGGGAATGGTCCCAGGCCATCACAATTGTCCTGCAGAATTCAAGGACTTTTAAAGCCACCAACTGAACAAACTTCCTCCATCGTGCTGTTAAGACCACAGGTGTATTTCCAATGCAGGGAGGGGGCGGCCAGAATGCTGTCTAAACCTGCTACTTCTCTGGGAGGACCTGACTGCCCGTCAGGGGGCAGACTAGGGCTCAGACTGCGGCTGGGAGAGGAGCACCTCTCCTCAGGCCTTGGAAAACGACCCCTGAAGGACTGGCTCCTGGATCCCGAGCAGCCCACTGTCCAGGTGGCAGGTTAACCATATTGGCAGACTTCTAGCAATTCACAGGTCTGCCATTTCAGATCTGGTTTACACACAAGGCCTATCCAAAGTGAGCGGGGAGGGGGTGCCGCCCGCTCACCTGCTCAGCGTAGTCCCTCGCGGTGCACTGCCTCTTGTTCAAGAGCTGGACCGACGCCCCGTGCAGCAGCAGCAGCTCCACGACCAGGACGTGCTTCTCCAGCACAGCCTCGTGCAGGGCTGTGTTGCCCTTGTTGTCAGAGGCGTTGATGGAGGCCCCATGCTGGAAAGAGGCAGCACAATCAGAAGGGACGCCGAAGACGGTGCTGATGCAGAACCTCGACGGGTGTTCACTCTAAGATTCTTTCAACTTTTCTGTATATCTGACATTTCTCTTAAAATGGGGTTAAAGTAATACTGAGAAAAAACATTTATGTGCACAGATAGTCACTGCAGCATTTATCATTATGGCAGAAGAAATAGAAGTCACCTAAATGTATAAAGCAGGAACAGTTAAATAAACACTCTATGGTTGATCCATAGATACACAACCATTAAAATTTGAGATTTTAATAAACAGTTTTCTACCATAAGCAAAATAAGATAGAAAACAAGACTGTTCTAAATTATGCACATTTTCTTTCTTTTTAAAAAAATCCTCAACCAAGTGTGTATATATATATATATTTTTTTTTAAAAATATATTTTATTTATGCCGAGACCGGTTTGGCTCAATGGTTAGAGCGTCGGCTTGGGGAACCGAAGGGACCCGGGTTCGATTCCGGTCAAGGGCATGTGCCTTGGTTGCGGGCATGTCCCCGGTGGGGGGTGTGCGAGAGGCAGCCGGTCGATGACTCTCATCGATGTTTCTGGCTCTCTGTCTCTCTCCCTTCCTCTCTGTACAAAATCAATAAAATATATTTAAAAAAAAAAAAATAAAAAAAAAAAAATATATTTTATTTATATTTTACAGAGAGGAAGAGAGAGGGATAGAGAGTTAGAAACATCGATGAGAGAGAATCATCGATCAGCTGCCTCTTGCACACCTCCCACTGGGGATGTGCCCGCAACCAAGGAACATGCCCTTGACCGTAATCGAACCTGGGACCTTTCAGTCTGCAAGCCGACACTCTGTCCACTGAGCCAAACCGGTTTTGGCTCAACCAAGTGTGTGTGTGTGTGTGTGTGTGTGTGTGTATATATATATATATATATATATGTATATATATATATATATTTTTTTTTTTTAAATATATTTTATTGATTTTTGTACAGAGAGGAAGGGAGAGAGAGTTAGAAACATCGATGAGAGAGAGTCATCGATCAGCTGCCTCCTGCACACCCCCTACTGGGGATATGCCCGCAACCAAGGTACATGCCCTTGACTGGAATCGAACCCGGGACCCTTCAGTCCCCAAGCCGACGCTCTATCCGTTGAGCCAAACCGGTCCCGGCCCAAGTATATTTTTCCATTGCTTTTAGCTTAACAATAACCCACAACCTTCAGACCAACTATATTTTTCCATTGCTTTTAGGTAGAGTGGAAGGGAGATGGGGAGAGGAAGAGGGAGAGAAAAACTGATGTGAGAGACCCAAGACACACTGATTGGTTGCCTCCCGCACTCGGCTTGGGGATGGAGCCTACAACTGAGGTACGTGCTCTTGACCAGAAAAAAAAAAAAAGACAAAGGACATTCAGCTCACACTAAAGGTAACAGTTCAACTTAACCCAATACAATTCAATCTACCCTACAGGTAAAGAAGGCAAGATCCAAACCTTCAGCAAAAGCAGTGTCTGTGCCCTTAACTCGGCATCCTGGCAGACACGGAGAACCATTGTATGGAAATTTCATGCAGAGCTTCTCTCTCCAGGGGCAGCTTAAAGCAAAGGGCAAGCCCTGCCCATCTGCAGTGCACTGCCAGGGTCTCGCCAAGTGACGAGATGCCATCACTGACCAGTGCCAGCAGCTCCTGGGCTGTGGGGCCCTTACCTGTAGCAGCAGCGCTGCAACTTCATGGTGGCCGCTGGCACAGGCGTAAATGAGGGGTGTGCTTCCACTTACGTCCTTTTTATTGGGTTTTGCATTGGAGTCTAGTAGGTACTTCACCACCTAGTCCAGAGAAGGACAATTTTTAATTGAAATTGTCTGGGAGAAATCCTTGATATTCTTTTGACTCTTCTCTAAGTTTATCAAGCAGACTCTTTAGATCCAGGAGAAAGCAGACCAGGTGGAAGGGGGGGTTAACATCTGTTGAGGGTTGACTGTGTGCCAGGCACTTGTTTCTTCATTTAATCATTTGATCTACCCCACAGAGAGCTGGAATTCTTACTCCAGCTTTACAGGTGAGGCAGCTGATGCTTGAAGCAGGTGTTAGGAGAGAGGTGGGAGAACCACTGAAATATGATTCCTGGCTTTAAAATGCTTACATTAGAATAAGGGAAAATGAAAAATACAATTCTCAAAACAAAAATGGGACTTTAAAAAAGTCAATCATTCCTTAGTTATCTCTTGGCCCTCCTTTAGAGGGCTGTACTCTACTTTATTATTATTATTTAAAATTTTTATTTATTCTTTTATTGATTTCAGAGAGAAAAGAAAGGAGAGAGAGAGAGAGAAACATCAACAAGAGCCCTAACCGGTTTGGCTCAGTGGATAGAGCGTCGGCCTGCGGACTAAAGGGTCCTGGGTTCGAGTCCGGTCAAGGGCATGTACCTTGGTTTTGGCATATCCCCAGTAGAGGAAAGGGGTGCAAGAGCCAGCTGATCGATGTTTCTCTCTCATTGATGTTTCTAACTCTTTGTCCCTCTCTCTTCCTCTCTGTGAAAAATCAATAAAATACATTTAAAAAAACTAACAAAAGATAAACATTGATGAGCTGCATCCTGCACCCCTTTCCCCCACACTGGGGATTGAGCCCACAGCCCACATGCCCTGACCAGGAACAGAACTGGTGACCTCTTGGTGCATGGGATGACATTCAGCCAAAGAGCCACACCAGCCAGGCTACTGTTATTATTTGTTGTTAATCCTCACCAGAGGGTATTTAAAAATATATATATATATATATATTATTGATTTTTTACAGAGAGGAAGGGAGAGGGATAGAGAGTTAGAAACATCGATCAGCCGAAACTGGTTTGGCTCAGTGGATAGAGCATCAGCCTGCAGACTGAAGGGTCCCGGGTTCGATTCTGGTCAAGGGCATATATTAATACCTTGGTTGTGGGCACATCCCCAGTAGGGGGCGTGCAAGAGGCAGCTGATCGATACTCTCATCGATGTTTCTAACTCCCTTCCTCTCTGTAAAAAATCAATAAAATATATAAATAAATAAAAAGAAAAAAACATCTATCAGCTGCCTCCTGCACACCCCCAAGGTACATGCCCTTTACCAGAATTGAACCTGGGACCCTTCAGTCTGCAGACAGACGCTCTATCCACTGAGCCAAACCGGTTTCGGCCAGAGGGTATTTTTAAAAATATATTTTTATTCTTTTTTTACAGAGAGAAAGGAAGAAGGATACAGAGTTAGAAACACTGATGAGAGAGAAACATCAATCGGCTGCCTCCGGCACATTCCCCACTGAATATGTGCCCTCAACCAAGGTACATGCCCTTGACCAGAATCTAACCTGGGACCCTTGAGTCTGCAGGTTAATGCTCTATCCACTGAGCCAAACTGGTTGGGCCAGAGGGTCTTTTTTCCACTGATTTTTAGAGACACTGAAAGGGAGGAAGGAAAGACAAAGGATGGAGAGAGCGCGAGCAGGTGAGAGAAACATCTATGTGAGAGAGACCCATCGATTGGTTGCCTCCTGCATGCCCCCTGACAGGGCCAGGGATTGAACCCACAACCCAGGTAAGAGCCCTTGACTGGGAATCAAACCCTCATCCTTTGGTCAGATGCTCTAACCTAGGGGTGTCGAACTCAATCAGAGAAGGGGCCAAAATCTAAAATCCAGCCTAAATCGCGGGCCGAATGGTTTACTGAACAGTCATAAACTGTCATTGTGATGGAAACGCAGCGGAGTGCAGTGATGACAGCGCGGTGCGGGCCACATTGCAAGGCCTGGCGGGACGGATTTGGCCCGCGGGCCTTGTGTTTGACACATGTGCTCTAACCACTGACAGCACTGGCCAGGGCTGTTCTTTATAAAGTGCTGAACTGTTTGGCACTGACCAAGCACTGTGGGATGTCAAGGCACTAACATGCTGCTGGAGCCTGGGAGGACCAACACCCAAGCACCAGAGAGCTCGGGTCAGGCTGGGTCAGGCCAGCACGCTGTGAGGGCGGGGAAGCGGGTAGCTCCAGTCCAGGGGCGTCAGATTCTGTGTTCTGTTGCTGAGTGGTCCATCCAGGTGCTCCCCAGATTCTCAGGCTGGGAGGAAGGAAGGGTGCTGGTCCTCTGAGCCACATGTCAAACCCCTGACCCAAGGCAGCATTCCCAAGTGAGGTTCTAAGCCAGGGGTGGGGACGTCTGCCTGCGGGCTGTGGAAGGCTGTAGAATCATTTGGTCAGGCCTTGAAAGGCTTCAAAGCTGAGTTAGTTACCTGTTTGGCCAAATATAGCGGCTAATTTTTAAGTTGACAATTCTGGATGGCCCGTGAATGATGTTATAAATATCCAAATGGTCTTTGGCAGAAAAAGGTTCCCACCCCTGTGCTAAGTACAAGCAAACACCCGAACACTCTGCCCGGGACACCCTGTACCTGGAAGTGGCCTTGCTGGCAGGCCAAGTGGAGTGGGACAGCTTGGTTGGCGTTCCTGGCACCCACGTTGGCACCATGCTTCAGAAGGAGGGGGATGAGGTCCGCCCGGCCATGCAGGGCAGCAATGTGCAGTGGGGAGGAGCCGTCCTGGTGGGTCACATTCACACCGAGCCCACTGGCGGGAATCTTTGCCAGCTTCTATAGGTTCAGAAGACAGAAACAGAGTGTCATTAGTATTTAAAAAACCAAAGCCATCTGCCCCTCACAGCCCTCAGCAAACTCAAGGTTGCACGCAGTGGCATCCAGAACCAGGTTACCCTCAGGTGAATCCCCACTACTTTATTTATTTATTTTATTTTAGTTAATCCTCACGTGAGGATATTTTCCCATTGATTTTTAGAGTGGGAGGGAGGGGGAGAGACGCACAGAGAGAAACATCGATGTGAGTGAGACACATTGATTGGTTGCCTCCCACACGTGCCCCAGATCAAGCCTACAACCGAGGTACGTGCCCTTGACCAGAAACAATCCTGAGACCCTTCAGTCATGGGGTGACATTCTAACCACTGAGCAATCGGCGAGGGCCATCTCAACTACTTACAAAAGATATGAAAGTCAAAGGATTAACTTCTATTTTTCAAGAAAACATCCCCCAAAGTAATTCAATATTATGCCAAGGGAATAAAAAGTCTATTCAACAGATGACGCTGGAACAACTGGGTATCCATATATCAAAAAACTGTCTGTCAATCCTTATCTTACACGAAACACAAAAATTAAAATGTATCTCAGATCTAGATGTAAACACTACAGTTGTAAAATTTGAAGAGAAACAGAAGAAAATCTTTCCAACATTGGGATAAGCAATGATTTCTTAGAAAAGACAAAAAGCAAAAACATAAAAGAAAACCTTGATAGACTAGGTTTAGAAATTGTAAATCTATGCTCTCTGAAAGGGACAATTAAGAAAATGCACCTTCCCCCTTCCCCTGGGAGAAACGTGGCCACGAGCAGTGAGGGGCGCCAGACGGGGCGAGGCCTGTTATGGAGATGAGAGTATGTCCTCAGACCTCATGGCATCACTGAGCGGCTAAGGATATCGTAAAAAAGACAGGATACTGTGATACTTTGGTCCTGTGTGTGCTTAAAAAGGTTACAGGTTCTGTGCTGATCTTGTAGAACACCTTAAGAACATCAGCCGAAATTCAGATAGATTTGTCCCTATGAAGGATGATTTCATCAGATTAAAAAGTTACAGGCATTACATTCATATGAATGAAGAGACCAAACAGAGAGAATCTGATTGTGGCAATTTTATGGAATAGACAACTTGAAATACAATTTAAAAGCCTCTTAAATGTTCACTGGAGCTCAAAGGGAGATATACTACCCTGTTTCCCTGAAAATAAGACAGTGTCTTATATTAATTTTTTCTCCCAAAGTTGCTCTAGGTCTTATTTTCAGGGGATGTCTTATCTTTCCATGAGCTAGGTCTTATTTTCAGGGAAACACGGTAGTAGAAACTGAGACCTGAGATGTTAAGTAACATGTCCAAAGTAAAAAAGTTTGTAAATGGAAGATCTAATATTCAAACCCATGTTCAACTCCAGAGTCCAAGACTGAGACCACTAAAACTAATTCTCTCTAGAGATGGGTTGAGACGAATTAGGCTAAAGAGAGAAAAATTTCACAAAGAAATCAGCATCATTTTTTTCCTGAGCTTAATTTTCATATTTACTGAACTTGGCTAAACTAGCTCCCACCATTTCTGGGAGAATGGAATATTTGTAAATAGTTAACTGCTCATTATATGAAATGTCTTATACATTATATTAATAAACTATGAAGAATTATGTTCCAATAAAATATTGACAATAAAGAAAATCAAAAGGCAGGAGAATTTGAAATCTTACTCCCCAGCTTATATTGTCAGTTTGGCTCACATAAACTCTAATAAAAATTCTCAAAATAGCCGAAACCGGTTTGGCTCAGCGGTAGAGCGTCGGTCTGCGGACTGAAAGGTCCCAGGTTCGATTCCGGTCAAGGGCATGTACATTGGTTGCGGGCACATCCCCGGTAGGGGGTGTGCAAGAGGCAGCTGGTCGATGTTTCTCTCTCATCGACGTTTCTAGCTCTCAAACTCTCTCCCTTCCTCTCTGTAAAAAATAAAATAAAATAAAAAAAGAAAAGAAAAAAAAAACAGAACCCAAACTCTACAACTCAATAACATAATCTAATTATTATTATTATTTAAAAAAAAATTTTTTTTATTGACTTCAGAGAGGAAGGGAGAGAGAGAGAGAAAAAATAAAACAAAACAACGATGATCCCTAACAGTTTGGCTCAGTGGATAGAGCGTCAGCCTGCGGATTGATTCTTGTCAAGGGCATGTACCTTGGTTGCAAGCACATCCCCAGTAGGGGCCATGCAGGAGGCAGCTGATTGATGCTTCTCTCTCATTTGATGCTTCTCTCTCATTTGATGCTTCTCTTGCTCTCCCTCTCCATTCCTTCCCTAAAACATCAATAAAAACATACTAAATTTATACAGGTGATTAAATAAACAAATTATGGTATATTCAACAAAATGTTACCCAGAAATAAAAATAAATGAGCTAGTAATGCAACATGGATCTCAAAAATAATCTGCTGAGCAAAGAAAGCAGACTCAAAAGGATGTGAACTCATGTACAATTCTAGAAAACGCTGATGAGTCTGTAAAGACAGAAAGCAGATCAATGATACATCTGGCAAATTGTCCGTGCTGGGGACAGGGCAGAAGGGAGGGAGGGCAGAGTTGCACGTGGCATGAGGACTCTGGTGGTGATGTGGATGCTCTTGATTGTGGTGATGGCTTCATGGGTGCACAAAGAAACTTACCAAATTGTATTCTTTTTTTTAAAAAAATATATTTTATTGATTAAAAAAATATATATTTTTTTATTTATTTTTAAAAATAAATATTTTATTGATTTTTTACAGAGAGGAAGGCAGAGAGATAAGAGAGCTAGAAACATCAATGAGAGAGAAACATCGATCAGCTGCCTCCTACACACCACCTACCGGGGATGTGCCTACAACCAATGTACATGCCCTTGACCGGAATCGAACCTGGGACCTCTCAGTCCGCAGGCCGACGCTCTATCCACTGAGCCAAACCGGTTTCGGCCAAATTGTATTCTTCACATGGATATCCAGGAAGTCCTTACTTAACATTATTGATAGGTTCTGCGATGTTAAGCATAACGACGTATAACAAAACCAGTTTTACTACTGGCTAACTGATATAAGGAGTTAAGTTCCAATAACATCTCATCAGCATTATATTGAAACTAGAGACCTAAAATACAAAAATTTGTGCAGAGTAGGCCTTTCTTCCCCCAGCTGCCAGCACCAGCTTCCGTCCTCCGGCCGGCAGGCACCTGGGACCGGTGGGACCGGGCTTGGCTCCCCCAGGCTGGCTTCCCTCTGGCCCCAGCTTCGTCAGGAAAGATGTCCGGTCTAATTAGCATTTCATTGTTATAGATATTATTTGAGGACTTGTTGTACTTTATTGTATGTAAGTTATACTTCAATAAAGAGTTTTTAAAAACTTTATATACACCAGTGGGATAGAAGAGAATGGGGTTGGGGAGAAGTTTTAATTTAATAACAGAAATGAAGCAATTTAGTTTTGTGCCTTTTTGAGAACTTCCAAAAAGAGAAAAAGATAAGAGTTTTAAAAAATAGATATTTTTATTGATTTCAGAGAGGAAGGAAGAGGGAGAGAGAGAGAGAACATCAATGATGAGAGAGAATCAATGTATGGCTGCCTCCTGCACACTCCCCACTGGGGATCGAGCCCCAACTGGCATGTGCCCTTCCTGGGAATCAAACCCGGGACCCGTTAGTCCGCAGACTGACACTCCATCTACTGAGCCAATTGGCTAGGACCAGATAAGAGTTTTTATTTTATTTATTTATTTATTTATTTATTTATTTATTTATTTATTTATTTATTTTCAAAAGTAAGAGGCAGGTTCTTTTATTTTGAATTTCACTTTAGGAGACATTTCGGGGATTGGGAGCGTGAAGAGGGTATATTTTTATTTAGATTTTTCCTCCTTTCCGTCCTTGAGGTAGAGGGGCATTTTATTCCCCCCCCCAATTCACATAATTTATGCGTACCGAGGAATGCCCAGATAAGAGTTTTTAAAAGAGCAGGGAACATAAGGCTTTTTTGGAGTCTGTTGGTTTTTTTAATTGATTTTAGAGAGAGAAAAAAAGGAGAGAGAGAGAGAAACATCAATCAGTTGCTTCCCATAGCACCCAAACGGGATCAAACCCGTAACCTGGGCCGGTACCCTGACCGGTGATTAAACCCAAGACCCTTTGGTACACGGGGTGATGCTCCAACCTACTGACCCACACTGGCCAGGACAACATAAGGCTTTACTCCAATAAATTCAACAGATATTGTCTTGTGTTTTAAGCATCTTGTTACAGCTGATGAACTAAGGTGAGAACAGAGTATAGAAAAATAGGAAAAGAAGGGAGATGGAATAACTGCTTCTAGTTGCCAATACTCACTGACTGGAGCTGGGGTTTTGTTACTTCATTCTTTTGAAACATCAGTTGCCTTCTTTTTTTTTCTTTTTCTTTTCTTTTTTTTTTTTTAAATAAACGTTTATTGATTTCAGAGAGGAAGAGAGTGGGAGAGAGATATAGAAACATCAATGATGAGAGAGAATCATTCATTGGCTGCCTCTTGCACATCCCCCCTCTGGGGACTGAGCTCACAACCCGGGCATGAGTCGAACCAGGGACTCCTCAGTCCACAGACCAATACTCTGTCCACTGAGCCTAGCTAGCTAGGGGAATCCCTATGTTTTTCATAGTCACCCATCTAGGGGAAAAAGTTTTTGGACTGTACACATCCGGCACCATGGGAACAGAACAAAAGCTGCACAGTCTAATGTACATATTACCCTGCTGCTGAAAAGCTACACGTGAGTGAAAAATATAGTCATTTCAGTACTCTTAGGTTGCAGAAACCCATGGTAAAGCTTTTCAAATAAGGTAGTATAATCTTACAATATGAAACATAACACCACTATATCCATTTGTAAAGTCAAATTAATTTTCTTAGTATGGAACACACATTGAGTTAAGAGCTAGCACATGAGTGCATACTATGTACATGATGCTATTTACAATTACACAAAAGAAAATGAAATACTTAGGTATACATTACAAAATGGACAAAAGTCTGTTATTCTGAAAATCACAAAATGTTGATGAAGAAATCAAAGAAGGCCTAAATATATTAGAGATATACCATATTCATGAAGACTCAACATAGTAAAGATGTTATTTCTCTTCAAATTGATCTACAGTTTTAATGCAATTCCTATCAAAATTCTAGCAAGGTTTTTTTTGTAGAGATAGTCAAGCTTTTAACTTATAGGAAAAGGCACAGGCTCTAGAATAGCTAAAACAATCCTGGCAAAGAAGAGTAAATTAGGGAGAATTCACTTTACCCAATATTAAGTCTTACTATTCAGCTGCAAAAATCAAAATAATGTGGCACTGTGTGGCCTGCAAGGGAGGGCAGTTGAGAGAGACCAGGCCTGCAATGAGGGCAGTTGGGGGCGATCAGCCCTGTAGGGGAGGGCAGTTAGGGGTGACCAGAACAAAAGCTGGAAGCAAGGAAATTGGGGGCAAACAGGCTGACAGGGGAGTAGTTAAACATCAATTAGTCTGGCATGGGAGTGGTTAGGGGGTGATCAGGCTGGCAAACAGAAGCAGTTAGGGGCAATCAGGAAGGCAGGCAGGCGAGCAGTTGGGAGCCAGCAGTCCTGGATTGTGAGAGGGATATCTGACTGCCCGTATAAGGCCCGATCCCATTGAGCAGTCGTACATCCCTCGAGGGGTCTCAGATTGGATAGGGTGCAGGCTTGACTGAGGGACACCCCCCCACCCTCGGGCATGAATTTCGTGCTCCAGGCCTCTAATACTAGTATAAAGAACTCTGAAAACTCAACAGTAAAAAACACCAACACACACACACACACACACACACACACACACACACACACCCCCGAGGCCCAGAAGCTCCAGAGTGTCGTCCTGATATGCCTGGTCAGAGCACATTCAAGAATCAACCAATAAGCCCTAGCTGTGGAGTGTGGGCCTGTGGACTGAAGGGTCCTGGGTTTGATTCCAGTCAAGGGCACATGCCTGAATTGCGGGCTTGATCCCCAGTAGGGGGCATGCAGGAGACAGCCAATCAATGATTCTCTCATCATTGATGTTTCTATCTCTCTCTCCCTCTTCCTTCCTCTCTGAAATCAATAAAAATATATTTTAAAAAATCAACCAATGAATACATAAATAGGTGGAACAACACATTGATGTCTCTCTCTTCCCAATCAATAATTTTTTTTTAAAGAAAGAAAAGAGTAACAAAGTGGGTAAAGGAAATGAACAGACATTTCAATGAAGAATATATACAGATGGCAAATAAGCACAGGAAAAGAGGTTCAATATCATCACCCAGTAGGGAAAGCAAACTGCAACCCAATGAGACAGTGTTACACTTATTCGAATGGCTAAAATAACAAAGAGTGACAACACCAAGCTGGTGAGGATGCAAAAAACTGAATGGCTCAGAGATTGCTGGTGGGAATGTAAAATGTACAACCAGTCTGAGAAAGTCTGTCAGTTCCTTACAAAACTAACCACAGAATTAACATGTAATCACTCGAGTCAGCAATCGCACTTTTGGGCATTCACCTTAAAGAAAACTATGTTATGTTCTTACAAAAAACTTGTACAAAATGTTCATAGCAGCTTTATTTGTAATTTCCCATCTAGAAACAAGCAACATGTCTCAACAGGAGAGTGGTTACACCAACTGGCACATACAACCATGAAATACTGCTCAACAATAAAGAAGTAAACTGTTAACTACATGCAACAACTTGGAATCATGCTAGACAACAAAGCCAATCCTCAAAGGTTACGTGCTGTATGATTACATATATAGCATCTTTGAAGTGGACAACAGATTCGTGGGTGGTGGGGTGAGGGTGACAGAGAGAGGTGGGGGTGGTCGTAAAAGGGCAACGTGAGTGATTCTTCTCCTGGTGAGGGAACTATTCTGTTCCTTGAATGTGGTGGTGGGTACACAAAGCCACATATGTGATAAAACTAGAACTAAACCCACACACACACGAGCACAGGTAAAATGGGATATTTCAGCAAGGTGAATGGACTGTATGTGTCTATGGTTCTGCAAGCTGTTACCATTAGGGGAAGTGTCTGCCACAGAGGAAGCACCAACGTGAGCAATGGTAGTGGCAACGGACCTCGAGTGCAGCCTCCCCAGGGGATGTGGCCACGTGGACGGAGACCCTCAGGCGTGTCTATTTTTTTTTTTTTAATAAATATATTTTATTGATTCTTACAGAGAGGAAGGGAGAGGGATAGAGAGTTAGAAAGGTCAATGAGAGAGAATCATCCATCAGCTGCCTCCTGCACACTCCCTACCGGGGATGTGCCCGCCACCAAGGTACATGCTCTTGACTGGAATCGAACCCGGGACCCTTCAGTCCGCAGGCAGACGCTCCATCCACTGAGCCAAACCGGTTTTGGCGAGACGTGTCTATTTGTAAACTCCTGCCTGTGACTCAGGGGCCCAGAGAGCCATGTGGATGTCCCTGCTTACTGACCAGCCTGTTCAGGAAGCAGGCAGCCCAAGCCAGATCCTGTAGGGGCGCCAGCTTCTCTCTGCCCTTACCTAACTAACCACACCACATCTCAGGGATACCCACTACCAGCCACTCAGAAATCAGCTGGCTGAGAAGCAGACATCGTTCTCAAGGGGACAAAGAAGAATGCTCCCTCCTATCACCACCCTCATCAACAGAAGCAATGCCAAACCTTTTGAGCTGGAGCACATTTTGGGCATTGGCACAAGGGGTGACAAAATTCAAGGTCTGCAGCACTGACAGCATCCTCCGCATCCTCCAGGTCCTCCTCTGTCCACTCCAAAAGGTAACGCACCTGAGGATGTACAGTAAAAGAGAAATAGGAACTTAAAACTCACCCTTAACTCTTTTATAAGATACAGTACCTTAACTCTCTAACTGTTCCCAAACCAGGGCCACAGTCACTAAAAAAATGTCAGCTGCTGCTCACAAAGATTCCAGGGGTCACATATGCTCAAGCCTTTTTAAACCCTTTCATAGTGATAGAGAGATTAAGCTACTGTTTCTGAAGCTTGTGTTAGAAATTCATCCTTTCTTCCTTCCTTCCTTCCTTCCTTCCTTCCTTCCTTCCTTCCTTCCTTCCTTCCTTCCTTTCTCCCTTCCTTTCTCCCTTCCTTCCCTCCTTCCTTTCCTCTCTCTCTTTATTGTCGAGAGTATTACAGATATTCTCTTTTCCCTACCATTGCCCCTCCACCTGGTTCCCACCCTGCCCCAGGCCTTTGCCACCTTATTGTCTGTGTCCATAGGTAATGCATATCTATATAACAAAAGCCTAAACGACCGTTACGGTGGAATGACCAGGAAGACCGGTTGCTATGATGCACACTGACCACCAGGGGGCAGACGCTCAGCACAGATGCTGCCCCCTGGTGGTCAGTGCGCTCTCACAGGGGGAGTGCCGTTCAGCCAGAAGCTGGGCTCACGGTGGCGAGAGCAGCTGTGGTGACTGGAGCCTCTCCTGTCTCTACAGCAGTGCTGAGGAGCAGCAAGCTGAGTGCTAAGGAGCAGCAAGCAGGCAGGCTCCAGGAGCAAGGTGTCCCGGACCGTGAGAAGGATGTCCGCCTGCTGGCTTAGGCCTGATCCCCAGGGGCTCCTGGGGTGTGAAAGGCACCAACCAGGCTGAGGGACCAACCCCAATGCACAAATTTCATACACCAGGCTTCTAGCCTATATATATATAAAAGCCTAAGCGACTGTTACGACTGGATGATAGCTATGATGCACCATCACCAAGGGGCAGATGCTCAACACAGGAGCTTCCCCCTGGTGGTCAGTGTGCTCCCACAGCCAACCTCCTGTGGCTGGCCAACCTCCCCCAGTCCCTCCCTTTGACCCGCTGGCCCAGAATGGGCCCGATTGGAACTGGACAAGATGGCCCCGATCGCCTGCCAGGACAAGAGACCCCATCTGTGCACAAATTCATGCACTGGGCCTCTAGTATGTATATAAGATCTTTATTGAATCTCTTCCTGCCTCCCCACCCCTTTCCCTCTGAGAACCATTAGTCCATTTTCATGCTTGTAATTCTATTGTATTTGCAAGTTTATCCTATTCATTAGATTTCTTTCTTTTTCTTTTCTTTTCTTTTCTTTTCTTTTCTTTCTTTTTTTTTTTTTTTACTATTTTATTTTATTGATTTTCCACAGAGAGAAAGGGAGAAGGATACAGAGCCAGAAATGTCGATGAGAGAGAAACATCGACCAGCCGCCTCTTGCACACCCCCTACTGGGGATGTGCCTGCAACCAATGTACATGCCCTTGACCGGAATCGAACCCGGGACCCTTCAGTCTGCAGACCGATGCTCTATCCACTGAGGCAAACCGGTTTCGGCTCATTAGATTTCTTATTCTTTATTTTGATTTTTAGATTCAATTGTTGATATGTATTTACTGGCATTTTATTGTTCATAATTTTTATCTTTTTCTTCTTTCTCTTCTTAAAGAATACGCTTCAACATTTCATGTAATACTAGTTTGGTGGTGATGAACTACTTTAGTTTTTCCTTGTCTGTGAAGCTCTTTATTTGATGATACATTTGCAGGGTAAAGTAATCTTGGTTGTAGGTCCTTGCTATTTATCACTTTGAATATTTCTTACCACTCCCTCCTGGCCTACATAGTTCCTGCTGAGAAATAAGCTGATAGTTATATGGGTGCTCCCTTGTAGGAAACTGCTTTTCAGAGTATCTATCTTTAACCCTTGGCATTTTAATTATGTGTTTTGGTGTGGTCCTCTTTGGGTTCCTCTTGTTTGGGACTCTCTGTGATTTCTGGACTTGTAAGTCTATTTCTTTCACCAGGTAGGGGAAGTTTTCTGTCATTATTTCTTCAAATAGGTTTTCAATATTTTGCTCTCTCTTTTTGCCTTCTGGCACCCCCATAATGTGAATGTTGGTACACTAGAAGTTGTCCCAGAGGCTCCTAAAACGATCTTCATATTTTTGGATTCCCTTTTCTTTTTGTTCTTCTGATTGGGTGTTTTTTGCTTCCTCACATTCCAAATTGTTGATTTGATTCTCAGAATCCTCTATTTTCCTGTTGAATCCCTGTAAATTAGTCTTTATTTCAGTAGTCTATGCTTAATTTCTGACTGGTTCTTTTTCATGTCTTTGGTATTCTCACTAAAATCCTTGAAAGTCTAAGTGTAAGTGTCTTGAAGGTATCATAAAAATATGTTGAACTTGTATCCAGTAGTTGACTCTCTCCCATTTCCTTTATTTGTGACATGTTTCTTTGTCACCACATTTTGGCTGCTCACCTGTGTTTGTTTCTATGTATTAAGTAGAGCTAGCATGTCTCCTGGAGTTGGTAAACTAGCCTTATATAGTAGGTGTCCTATAGGGCCCAGTGGCTCAGCCTCCCCAGCCACCCAAGCTGGGCACTATAAGTGCTTCCCTATTTAAAAAATAAAAAATAAATTTAAAAAATTGATTTTTTTACATAGAGGGAGAGAAATAGAGTTAGAAACATTGACGAGAGAGAAACATTGATCAGTTGCTTCCTACACCCTCCCCCCACTGGGGATGTGCCCACAACCAAGGTACATGCCCTTGACCAGAATCAAACCTGGGACTCTTCAGTCTGCAGGCTGACACTCTATCCAATGAGCCAAACCAGCTAGGACTAAGTGCTTCCCTTTGTGGGCTATTTGCACAGTCTTATTATATTTGAGCCTGATTGCTATTGGTGACACTAGGAGGAATAGACCTCCAGGCAAATTACGGTAGCTGTGAGGACCAGCTGCAACTATAGTGGGAAAGCTGCTGTGCCGGAAACCCCTCTATGAAGCAGGACTTGCTTCACTAGGGCTATGGAGCTCACTGAGTCTTCCCCTTGAGTGTGTTGCCTGTGGATATGTAGAGTGCAATGTGGTATGGTTTGAAGCTGTCTACTGGATAAGCTGGCCCTTGGGTCTCTTGGGAGGTGCAAAGTCAGCCACTACCTGGGGCCACTTGGCAGGAGCTAGAGATATCTGCAGATTCTTTCTATTTATTTTGGGTTTGGAAGTGCCCAGGTGAGGTCCAGCTTTGAATTAAGGCAAGCTGGTGCTGCTGTAAGGTGTCAGGCCCTTTATTGATAAGTTTGGGGGTATGCTGATGCCAGCTGCTGCTTGTTTAAGAGATTTTAGCAAAGTCTAAAGCCTGAGCCAGGACAGGCCATTCATATGGAAAAGCTACTGCAAATATCTTGGGTGGGGCTGCAAACTGGAGGGGATGGGATCTCAGGGAATCATCAGGTTGATGGGGATTCAGATATGATTGCCAGTCAGCCCTGGGACAGGAAGGTCCCAGAACAGGAACAATGACTGCTGTGAGCACTTCCGTCTGATAGAAAGCTGCCCCTGAGTTCCTGCACTTCTGCCAGACAATCCAGTTCCTTTCCATGGGTCTGGGTCTCCCAACACTACAGCTCAGAGGAAGTAAGTCTAAGCAAATTCATGCCAGGCCTTTAAGATGGACACCTGGGCCTTCCTGGCAGCCTCTGTGTTCCTCAGCCACAATCCCTGCTGGTTTTTACAGCCCCAAGTTACAGGGACTTCTCTTCCCACTTCTTAAACCCTGGATAGGAGGTCTGGTGTGGGGCTAGGACTCCTAGCTCCTCAAGGGTGGCCTCCACAGGGATAATTTACTTCTGGATTAAGAAAAAAATGGCACACGTCTCTAGTTGGTTTGGCTCAGTGGATAGAGCATTGGCCTATGGATTGAAAGGTCCTGGGTTTGATTCCAGTCAAGGGCCTGTACCTCAGTTGCAGGCTTCTCCCTAGGCCAGGCCCTGGTCAGGGCTTGTGCAGGAAGCAACCAATCGATGTGCTTCTCTGACATTGTTTCTCTGTCTTTCTCTTCACTCTCTCTAAAAATCAATGCAAAAACATAATTGGATGAGGATTAAACAAATAAAACAAAACAACACAAAAACCGGCACACATGGGTGTCAGACCAGCCTGTTCTATGCCTCCATCCATCTTACCAGTCTCAATGTGCTTTCTTCTTTCCTTCTCTAGTTGTAGGGCTTCCCTTCAGCCAGTTCAGGTGTTCTGAATGATGGTTGTTCTGTATTTTAGCAGAGTGGTGCTGCTTGAAAATGCTATTCCTGGAGCATTTAATAAGCACATCCTCTTTGATCTAACTGTACACTTTCCAACCAGCCCCTCCCTTTTCACCTGGAGAAAACTCACTCAAGAGGTCAATAACTTGTTCAGGGCCATTCAACTATTAAGTTGTGGTTGGAACTCCATACCAATGTCCTCTCCAATAGAGAGCACTGGAAAGACTGCCAAACAGGTCAAATTTATGTTCCAGTAAAGAAAAGCTTCTAAGATATTAAATTTGAGAAAACATTCTCAATACATATCTAGGCCTGGTTCTCAGCACTGAGGAAGTCAGCATATGCCTGCAAGACTGACAAAAGGTTTCAGGAACCCCTCTTTGACCCCAAGCTTCTCTCTTCGAGGTCCCTTCCATCCAAGAGACAGACACTTGGTCAGGGTGGAAACACCAAAGGCCCTGACTGAGGGTCCTCACTGACCAGGTTAGCCAAGACTGAGGGCAGCTTCTCTTGATGAGAAGAAGGGAACAAGAATGGGGGCAGGGAGCTGAGGTGGTCCCAGCAGGAGGTTGGAAGCTATCACATGAGTAGATCATTTGGATGGGGGCTCCAGGGCATTGGACAGTTGGTCTCAGTTCTCTCACCCACCCACAAAAGGAAGGAATTTGCTAAGCACCTAACTGTTTCCTCCTTTGAAGACAAAACAAATCCCTTTCAGGAAGCCAAAGGCAAGCCAGGCAAACTGCCTGTGGGAATCTGTCTCCACTCTCAAGTGATCTCATCATAGATGTTCCCCGTCACCTGGCACTGTGGGTTAGGACACACACCTTCCCTTCCTGCAGGACATCCTCAACAGGTTCAGACCTACACCAGTCAGCACCATCTTGTTTGGCACCTGCTTGACTCCTTGGGGCCTCAAGCCTCAGACTTCAGCCTCCTGGCCCAGGTGTCCACAACTTCTCCAGGGCCACCCTAACACCCCCTGGGCTCTGCCCTCACCTCCACCACCTCCTCCTCACCACCTCCCTGTCTGCTCACCTTCTCCCTAGCTAGTGGGTCAGGCTTTGAGCCCATATATTGAGACCTGGGTGTGGGCGGGCTAGTCTCTTACCAACATCTCACCACCCTCCCAGAATATGAATGTCTAAGAGGCAGGGACATGATCACTATGCAGCTTTATGTCCTCTCGCCTCATTATTTGTGGTGGAAAGGTCACATTGCCATTACCAAATATTTACTAAGTGTACCGCCTCCTATGTGAAAGTGAACAAAAAGCCACACAACTCCTAACTGAACCGAGAGCAAGCTTTGTAAAACGTACTTCTACAAACTCACCATTTCTAAATCTCCATCAGCAACTGCTCTCAAAAGCTTTTCTACCTTAAAAAAAAAAAAAAAAAAGAATGTTAGAAAAATAAGTTTAATAAAATAATAAAAATAAGAAGCCCTGGCCAGGTAGTTGTTTGGTTAAAGCATCATCCCAATATGCCAAGGTTGCAGTTTTAAGCCCTGGTCAGAGCGCATACAAGAATCTACCCACGCCGAAGCCGTTTGGCTCAGTGGATAGAGCGTCAGCCTGTGGACTGAAAGGTCCCAGGTTCAATTCCGATCAAGGGCATGTACGGGTCTAGTAATAATTAATGTCGTTTTTAAACATTCGTTTAAAATCTTGCTTGGCGTTGACTTGTATTGACATAACCTTCAAACACGTGGTATCTACAGAACGTGTGAAGTGCAATTAACAAGTTTTGCTTGAAAAAGTTTGTGTTTGGTTTGGTTTTTGTTGCAAAACTAGGGCTAAGAAGATGGCGGATGAAGAGCATATTCGGCACTGCATGCTTTACGAGTTCCAATTAGGAAGAAAAGCAAGTGAGGCTGCAAAAAACATCTGTAGTGCTCTTGGTCAAGATGCAGTTAGCGCCAGAAAATGCCAGCGTTGGTTTGAGAAATTTTGCGAGGGAAATTTTTCGTTAGATGACAAGAGTGGTCGAGGCCGTGTGTCCAATTTTGATCAAGAAGCTCTTCAAGCTCTTTTGGTGCAAAATCCTCAAATTACCCAACAAGAGCTTGCGACAACTTTAAATTGTTCACAAAAAACAATTTCCAATCAATTGCGTGCACTAGGCAAAGTCCAAAAGTTTGGAAAATGGGTTCCTCATGAGTTGACTGACAACAACCGTAATCAAAGAGTCACAATTTGCAGTTCGCTCCTCTCTCGTCAAAACCGTTTGCCGTTTTTAGAGCAAATTGTTACCGGAGCTGAAGAATGGGTGCTGTATGTTAATTTGAAAAGGCGGCCTCAATGGTTGGACAAAAATGAGGCTCCGCAGCCCACGCCAAAACCTGACTTGCATGCGAAAAAAGTGATGTTGTGTGTTTGGTGGAATTTTAAAGGAATTCTTCATTATGAACTTTTACCATCTAACCAAACCATTACAAGTGCCGTATAGTGCCCAATTGGAAAGGTTAGCCCAAGCTTTAAGAGAAAAAGAACCCGCGCTGATTAATCGGAAGGGCGTAATTCTTCACCACGATAACGCACGACCGCATACTGTAAGAATCACTGCTGAAAAACTGCGCCAGTTGGAATGGGAAGTTCTCCCTCAACCTGCATATTCTCCTGATATTTCCCCTTCCGATTACCATTTGTTTCGTTCTTTGCAAAACTTTCTTCTTGGAAAAAATTTAATAATGAAGAATGCCTCAAAAATGCATTGACCGAATTTTTTGCATCAAAATCACAAGAATTTTACAACAGAGGGATTAAAATGCTTCCTGAGCATTGGGCACAAGTAGTAGAAAACAACGGCAACTATATTGTTGATTAAATTTTGTTGTATTGTTTAAATAAATTAGATTTAAAAAAGTATTAGAAAACGACATTAATTATTACTAGACCTAATACCTTGGTTGAGGGCACATCCCCAGTAGGGTGTGTGCAGGAGGCAGCTGATTGATGTTTCTCTTTCATTGATGTTTCTAACTTCTATCTCTCTCCCTTCCTCTCTGTAAAAAATCAATAAAATATATTTAAAAAAAGAATTTCTTCATTATGAACTTTTACCATCTAACATTACAAGTGCAGTGTATAGTGCCCAATTGGAAAGGTTAGCCCAAGCTTTAAGAGAAAAAGAACCCACGCTGATTAATCGGAAGGGCGTAATTCTTCACCCATGACCTCATAAATATGTCTCTCTCTCTCTCTTTCTCTCTGTCTCTACCTCTCAATAAATGAGAAAAAATATTTAAATAAACCACCTTTCTGAAAGCCTAGTAGCTTTCATTTGTTTCTTAATTTGGAGTCTTGATTCAATAGCTTTCAAATATATCCCTATAACTGCTCAGACATCCTAGAAAGTGCTGGTGTGCTCTGAACCCATCACCCTGCAAGGTCTATAAAACGACACTGCTATCATGTGGCAAAGTGAGATGATGGCCACCTTGAAGCACAAGCACTCCCTAGGCCAGCCACCTTCAGAACTACAATTATTCAGTCCTCATTATCTGCTAGCTGAGAGTACATACAGGGACATCCCTCCCAAGGATGATCCCAGGTCTCTGTAAGGCCCTAGAGAGTGCCTGTTGGTTTTCTTTGCTGTGTTTTTGCATTGGCCTAGCTTGCTGGGTTATCTCCATGGGCTGGTCAGGGCTTGAGGGTAAATGGGAGAAGGGGGTCTTAGGTAGAGTTAGTGAGGGTCCCCACCCACAGGGAATGAGCAGAAGAGTGTGGTGTGGCACATCCATGCAATGGTCTACTCTGTGGGCTGACACTGAACAAAATCTAAGATTAAATGCAAAAAACAAAACCCAGGCTATAAATCAGCTTTTACTAAACACAATGTGTGAGTGTATATAAATGTCTATATAAACTTTGTAAGGAGTTAGAAAGGACCCACCTCAGCTAACAGAGGTCTTATGGAGTGGGAGGTGAGGGCAGAGAAAATTCGCTTTGTAAAATGATCTTAGATCAGTGGACTATAGGTGACTTTACTTATACTTTTCTTAGGCTATTCTCTCTCTCACACACACATTGTCCACAAAGCAAAGAGCTGCTGAGGGAGCAGACCATGAAGGGCAAGCAGGGTGAGAACATCTGGGCTCCTCTCCAGGCACCGACGTTGGCCACAGCAGGCAAGGCTGTCCTGGTTATGGTGGTCAGGCCAACTAGGTGGCCCTCATCAGGCCCTCTTTTCTTTTCTTTTTCTCTCTTTTTAATATATTTTTATTGATTTTAGAGAGGAAGGGAAAGGGAGAGAGAGAAACATCAATGATGAGAGAGAGAATCATTGATTGGCTGCCTCCTGCATGCCCCCTATTGGGGATTGAGCCTACAACCTGGGCATGTGCCTGTTACTGGAATCAAACCCGGGACCCTTCACTCTGCAGGCTGATGCTCCATCCACTGAGCCAAACCAGCGAGGGCAAGCCCTGACTCTTTAACCAGAGCCATATGCAGGGCCTCGCAGCCCTTCCTCCCAGCTGGGGCCTCACCTCTCTGTAGTCTTTCTTGGGTTCCCTTTGTCTGGAGCTGACAGACACAGAGGAAGAGCTGGAGGCAGAGGACCTCTGACTGATGGAATCCATGAAGTGTTGAGGGGGTGGCACAGGGACCTGCAGCAACGGAGTACGACAAGAGAAGAGGCAGGTGAGAGCCAGAGAGGGTGCTCTGGTCATAAACAGAGCCAAGGATTACCGCCCTGTTCACTTACCACTGAAGACTGTTGTCTCCTTTCAAAGGACATGGGACGGGCTTCCATTATAGACAGAATCTAGGAGGACAAAGGGGACAAGCAAAGTACTGAATGAGATGGATCACCAAAGCATCACCCATAATACCCCACTGACTGCCCATCTCCTTGGAAAGGGAGACAGCTCAGCCACACCCTTGGAGAGACAGGGAAACCGCAGCCTGAGTGGAACTGCTCAGAACCAGAGTAAGTCTGGGCTTCCTCTTGCCGCACCACATTCCTGCTGCCTGGCAGAGGGGCTGGTGCTTCCCATGAACGGGCTCAGAGGACAAGAGAAGCCCAGCCACAGAAGGGGCCTCAAAGGCTGCCCTGTCTAGCCCCCGGGCTATTTGTCCACAGGAATGAAGTGTGGCCTCTTCACTGGCACCACGAGCAGCTCAGAGCAGACCCAAGCAGGCAGCTATCTCCTTCCCTCTGAGACCTCCCTTGGGAAAAGGCCTTTGGAAGAAGAAACCCTCAGCTCCGCCGGGCATCTCAGGCCACAGGCAGCACCCCCCAATCCATCAGCTGTGGCTGCTACAGAGCAGACCCTATGAGTGCACGGGAAGTATGGCCCAGGGGTCAGGAGCAGGGATTTCACCTTCAAAAACTGTGCTCCTGTAGATCTTATGTTAAGTGTTCTTGTCACACACAAACATAATAAAGATTAGAGGAAACTTTTGAAGGTGATGGATATGTTTATAGCACAGATTGTGGTGATGATCTCACCAGTATGTACGTCTCTCCAAATGCATCAAGTTGTGTACCGTCGTGCCTCATTTGATTGTGCTTTGCTATATTGCACTTCTCAGATGTTTCGTGTTTTACAAATTAAAGGCAAGACTCTCCCAAGAGCAAAAATTTATGACTCACTTTCCTGCGTGGTCTGGAATCAAACCTGCTATTTCCTAGGTGTGCCTAAACATGAAATATGTACAGCTCTTTGTATGTCCATCATACCTTAATAAAGTAGTTTAAAAACTGTGCTACTTGCCGAAACCAGTTTGGCTCAGTGGATAGAGCGTTGGTCTGCGGACTGAAAGGTCCCAGGTTCAATTCTGGTCAAGGGCATGTACATTGGTTGCGGGCATATCCCTAGTAGGGGGTGTGCAAGAGGCAGCTGGTCGATGCTTCTCTCCCATCAATTTTTCTAGCTCTCTATCCCTTTCCCTTCCTCTCTGTAAAAAATCAATAAAATATATTAAAAAAACACACACAAAAAACCAAACAATAAAACAACCGTGCTACTTCTAGAAAATGATATAAACTGTAAGGCTTCCCTAGAAGAGAGTCAGAAACTAAACGGAAGCCGAAAGCATCAAGAAACAAAAAGCAAGGCCTGTGCAGAGGGAGACAACAGGAGGCCTGTATTAGAATAGAATCATTTGCCCTAGCTGGTTTGGCTCAGTGGATAGAGCATCAGCCTGCAGACCAAAGGGTCCCAGATTCGATTCTGATCAAGGGCACATGCCTCAGTTGAAAGTTCCTCCCTGGCTCAGGCCCTGGTCAGGGCTTGTGCAGGAGGGAACCAATCAATGTGTTTCTCTCACTTCGATGTTTCTCTCTGTATTTTCCTCTCTCCCCCACTATCTCTAAAAATCAATGGAAAAATATTGGGTGAGGATTAACAACAACAACAACAAAACAATCCTTTGCCCTGACCAGTATTGCTCTGTGGTTAAAGCATTGTCTCGTGCACTGAAGGGTAAGTAGCAGGTTTAATTCCCTGTCAGGACATATACTCAGGTTGTGGGTTCAATCCCCAAATGGGGTGCGTATGGGAGATAAACAATTGATGTTTCTCTCTTATCTCCCCCTCTCATTGATGAACAATATCCTCAGGTGAGGATTAAAAAATAAAATACATAAAATGGAATCATTTCTGTGAGCCACAAATGTTCTATTGTAGACACATCAACCTGATGACCTGGGACCTTTCACTCACATGGCTCAGCTTCCTCTGGCCAGCTGGCCGACCACACTTCACTGAAGGCATGCCTTCAATCTGCTGGGAGATGAGGTACAAAGAAATGGTTTTTCTAAGCTGCAGACTCCTCATTCCCCACTCACTTATGAAGTGAGCACTTTTACATGTCAAAAACTGAATGCTAGTCCGGACTGGTTTGCCTCAGTGGAGAGAGCATCGGTCCCAGGTTCGATTCTGGTCAAGGGCATGCACCTTGGTTGCAGGCACATCTCCAGTAGGAGATGTGCAGGAGGCAGCTGATCGATGTTTCTCTCTCATTGATGTTCCTCTCTATCCCTCCCCCTTCCTCTCTATAAGAAATCAATAAAGTATATTTAAAAAACAAAAACAAAAGAAACAAACAAACAAAAAACCCCAAAGAAAAACACAAAAAAACTGAATGTTCCCAGACATTAACAAATCACTTTTGGAAGAAGTAATACCCAATGATGCTCAAAATTGGTCAAATCAGGATCAAGTTTTTAGGAGCTGAAGATAAAGTAAAATCCTTTACTGCTTCCATGTTCCACTCCCTTTCTCCACTTCTGCCGGTCAGAGTTACTCTCCCGTTTTACCCACTCCATTTGCTCATAAGGCAATAGCATTCAGAGGCTGGGGCAAACTCTGCTGGGAGTAGCTCTAAGAACACAAAGAACAACTCATCCTAATATATAAAAACCCAGGGTCCGTACTGACCGACTGAAGGATTGACTGAATACTGGAAGTCAGTCCTGCACTCAGTGCTGGGTTGCCATGGACCCAGCACTGACTGCTGCTGGTGCAGGCGTAGTGACCCAGCACTGACTGCTGAGCGGGCTGTGGATCAGGCCCAGAGAGAGGCCTGAAGAGAGAGGCAGGGTCTGATCCAGAGCCTCCGTGACAGCTGTTGATCAGCTGTTGCCTCTCTTTCTCTTCGGGCTTCACCAGCAGCCATACCTCTTTTTCTTCCTAGACCTCCAAGGGGGCTGCTGATTAGCCCTGCCTCTCTGATCAGGCCTGGAGATAGGCCCAGAGATGCTAACTGGCATAGAAACTGACCAATCAGAACCAAATCTGGGTGAACTGTGAGGAGCCAAAGGCTGCCTAGAGGAGGAGCTTTTGACGCCAACTGGCATAGAAACTGAACAATCAGAACCAAATTGGCTGGCAGGGGAGGGTAGTTGGGGGTGATCAGGCAAGCAGGGGAGGGCAGTTGGGGACAGGTGAGTGGTTAGGAACCAGCAGTCCCAGATTGCAGTAGGACATTCTCCAAGGGGTCTCTGATTGGACAGGGTGCAGGATGGGCTGAAGGAACCCCCCTCCGTGCATGAATTTCATGCCCCAGGCCACTAATAATAATATAAATAAGTAAAAACCCATTAACCATCAGGATCCAAATGCAGCAGAGAGAGTACAGGCCAAGTCCTGCCCTCAGGCACTAATGCAATTTGTCCAGCATAGCCAAGACCTAATCTGTAGACATTGATTTTCTTTTTAAAGTCATAGTCCTTTAAAAAACAAACAAACACAAAACACAAAAACATACACACACAAAAACAATCTACCTTTGGGTTTAATGCACACTTGAGGGGCGTTTCTTTCATTCTGTTCTGGATCTCTGTGGATGCTCCATTTTGTAGCAATGTCTCTATGATGCCCTGGTAACCCCAGCGTGCAGCTATGTGTAGGGGGGTGTCTCCTTTCTCATTACCAATATCTAGTTTGCATGATTGCACATCATAGTAGACCAAAGCCTTCACACACTGCAAAGAAATTGGGAGATGCCACATTATCTCACATGCTAAGCCCCAGGCAACATCTGTGTACTCCACAGCCTAGATCCAGGTCCCAGCTCAATCAAGGCTCCACTAACCAAGCAACTGCACAGTTACAGAGAGGGAACCCAGGGGCTCCAAATTACCTGATCAAGACACCTCGCTTTCTCAAAGAACTCAAGGGTCTGTCAGTTAGAAATGGCTAAATACATTGTGATGTATCTATGTGCAGAAAGAAATGACCACAACAGGCCCGAGACCACAGTCCCTTGAAAGGCCTGACTGCAAGGTTGGCCCATGACTTGCAGTATTCCTTGGAAGCTTGGATTTAGGTTGTGTCTAAGTCCTCTACCTGGTAAGAGGGGCTCACTGTGCCCAACCTGTTGATATGAACACCTGTTTTCTTTCTGGAAGTCTGACATTTTGGTACATGCCAGGCAGAGGGTGTTTACATGACCAGCCTCCAATAAAATGTGCCCTGAGTGGCACAATGAGCTGCCCTGGTAGATAATATTTCATAGGTATTGTCACAATCAATGGGTAGTCTTAAGAACTCTGATACAATACACATAATTGATTACTGCAGCGATGAAAGACAGGCCAGATCTATATTTACTGACCTAGAGAATTTCCATAATGTAGCATTAAGTTAGGAAAGCAAGCTGCATGAAAATGTGTAGGGTACGATCTCGTTTTTACACATCACCCACCCCACCCAGCTTCAACCCTATCTATAATAATAAAAGCATAATATGCTAATTAGACCAGATGGCCTTCTGGACGACCTTCTGGATGAAGCCGGGGCTATGAGGGAAGCCCGGGTCCCGGGGGCCTTCTGGTGGCCAGGGGGAAGGCCTACTCTTGCACAAATTTTGTGCATCAGGCCTCTAGTATATGTATAAAACTACTTGTATGTTACTATGAAGAGAAGGGGGAGGGAGAATAATTAGGAAAAAATAAAACACACTGTTAAATATTAAGTGAAAATGGAAATTATGAAATTCTTGGATATTACTATAAAAAAGTAAAAGGTAGAAATTGAATATGAATATAAGAGTCAGATGGTAGCAGGGATGAATGGAAATAATTTTATGACAGATAATGAGCAATCAAGTTTCAGGTTTATTTCAACCTATCATGTAAAATTTTTTAATTAAAAAAATTACACACCATATTGTCCAATAATTATCCACACAAAACACACTACACTAAACTAAGTAAAATTTCACATTTCTTCACGGAGAGAAAAGGTGAATACAGCCGGGGACAGCAAGCACCACTTACGTCTTCGTGGCCGTGAGTGCAGGCCAGGTGGAGGGCGGTGTTGCCGTTATTGTCTTGCACATCAGTGCTGGCCTTGTAGTGCAACAGCAGCAGCTTGCAAAGGGGAGGAGAAAGCAGGTAATAAGGGGGAGGTCACTTGCTTCTATTTTCAATCTTATTTACCCATTCTACAAATAAATGATATCACTCTCATCCTTCCTTAGAGAGAAAAATGTTTTGAGATATAAAAAAGTACAGCCCTCCCTCCCTCTACCCCCAGATTATCAGGACATTTTAGGAAAGCAAGTCCTAAAATGTTTGTTCTGATAACCTAGACCTCACAGTTTTGTCCGGGGTTGGAGGAGCCCAGACTCGCAGCCCTGCTGTGCAGCTGCAGCATAGCCAGTGGGACAGAGGAGCGCAGTCAGCACGACTGGAGTCAGTCAGAGCCCAGCTCATCTAGCACGTGCACTGGTGGCGCCGTCACCCCCTGCTCACCGTCACGCTCTGATAGCCCTTCTGACATGCAAGATGAAGTGGAGTTGACCCGTGATAGTCCATGGCATTCACCACAGCGCCTCTGGAAACCAGGAAGTCAATAAGGGATGCCTGCCCTACAGAACAGAAGGACTTCACAATGGAGAAAAACAAAAGGCTTTCAGACCCTAAGTGTGAAGTCACAACATTACTTTACCCTCTTGTTCCCTGGCATGAATCAAGTCAGACTCCACAGATTCTGGGCACTTCAGGGTGCCTCTTAAGAGGGACTTAGCTCCTTCTTAGCAAGAGAAGGTACTGGGAAAGAGCCTTAACACCCACAGAAGATTCCCTGGTTCATAAGATGAATACTGAGAACTATTAAAAAATATGACAAGAAGAGCCGAAACCGGTTTGGCTCAGTGGATAGAGCGTCGGCCTGCGGACTGGAGGGTCAGGGGTTCGGTTCCGGTCAGGGGCATGTACCTTGGTTGTGGGCACATCCCCAGTGGGGGGTGTGCAGGAGGCAGCTGATCGATGATTCTCTCTCATCGATGTTTCTGGCTCTCTATCCAACTCCCTTCCTCTCTGTGAAAAATCAATAAGATATTAAACCAGAAAAAAAAAAAAAAATATATATATATATATATATATATGACAAGAAGAAATGTTCTTACCTACCACTGAGTGAAAAAAGCATAGAATAGAACAGTATGACCCCCACAAGATCATATGCTTTATATTCATATACACACAAGCACAGGGAAATTCCAGATACTCATAAATAAATATTATATCTGGGAGACAGAAGGATGGCAGGTGACACTGGAGAAGATTGTGTTTCTACTTTGTGCACTTTAAAAGTTATTTTTTAAAAGCGGGATATAAGAAACCCAATTCTAAGATCATTCTCATAGCTCGGACTCAAGCCTTCCCTCCCTGTCCCCAACCCAGGACAGTGAGAACATGGATAAGCCCAGCAGCAGCACAGGAAAGCCTGAGGAACGTCTGCTATTCTCTTCCAGCTAAGCCATCAGCAGTGGCCCACGATACAGCCCTTTCCACACCCAACTCCACTGCACCTGTTGGCCAGGCTTCAGGCCTCTGCTAGGCCATCCTTGGCTCCATCCCTTTTCCTTGACAACCCTCAGAGGCCCATCCAAGACCACATACCACAGAGGGCAGCCACATGGAGTGGTGTATGACCCCTGTCATCTCTGGAGAATGGAGTGACGACTGAAGGATCATTCAGCCTCCTAAAACAGAGAAAAGATACAGAGAAAGACACCCGAGGAATGGCAGGGCAAAGCCTCCTCCTGACAGGGCTGGCCATGCCAAGGTCTTGGGACTGGAAGACAGAACTCAGGGTGTGATCCAAACTGGGTCTCTCTTATAGTGTCCTGGAGAGAATCCACTCCCTACTCACAGGGTGAGGGACTGAGGCATCTAGTGTCCCTGCTGGCCACCCCACTCCTCCAGGCCTTGACACCCAGCAAAACAACCTGAGGAAGTTAAGGGGAGACCAAAAAGAGTTTCTGGAGGAAGCTGGTGTTCCTCCCATCCTAAACACATTTGCCGAGGCTGGGCAGGCCCTATATCTGCCTACCCTGTATCCAGCCCAGCAGCATGCCAAGTACTTTTAGGACCTTTATTCCATCTAATGCTCCAAAGAGGCAGAGATGAGTGTCCCCACTTTATGGCAGAGGAAGCTGAGTGTATCCAGGATAAGTGCCTCATTCAAAATCACATGGCAAGGAAGTAGAAAAGTTCCATCAAAGCCCTGAGTATCCTGCTTCCTGGCACACAGAGCCTCTGTGCGACTCTCTTACCCAGAGACCAGTTTCTCACAGTCATCACAGAAGCACAGGGGGTGGCACATCTTTTGGATGGCATCTTTTTCTTGGTCTTCTTGGCTCAGAAGTCTTTCCACTTCTTTTTGGTTACCTGAAGCAATGTGCTGAGAAGTGATATCAAAGATACTATCAATATTGAGAAATTTGCTTTTTAAGGTGTGAATTTTTTGAGTGTTGCTGAAACACTAATATATGGATGGATGAATTGATTTGCTCTCTGAGATTTATTTCAAAATCATCTGGGCGGGTGAATAGGGAAAGGGGGTGAGAGTAGAGATGAACTAAGTTTGGGAGATGGCTATATGGAACCTGTCCATGACACTAATCTTTTACTTTTGTAGTTTGTAAATGTAAGAAATTTTCATAATTAAAAAATGACAACTGACAAAATTCCCAAAGCAACAGAAGTAGAGAAGCAATACATTCAGAATTCAGACTCTTACTAGAACAAGCCTCGGTTCTGTGCTCCTGTATCTGATAAACCTTAGCTTGCAGGGTGAGGGAGGAAACAGCTGCAATCAGCAGAAATCCCATCAAAAACCAAGACTGCAAGGTTCACTCCTGTGATTCCTGGATGTGTTCCCCCAGGAAGTGGGATGTTCTGGGGAGCACCCTGCCCCAGGAGGCGCTCTGGGCCTCCATGGAACCCACTCTGGCTCCGGTGACCTCTTGGGGCGATCTGCCCTCTCCTAGTACTCCCTTACTGCCCAGTGGGCACCTCGACAGCCTCCCAGCAGTTGAACAGATCTGAGCAGGTAGCTGGGTGCACGTTCTGCTACATGATCAAACCACCCCCAGGCAGTCCGCTCCCAGCCCAGGGGAAACACACACTTGAGATGTGGGGCTCCTGGAATGAGAAGAAGCATCCCCTCTGTGGGGCCTCCAGGGAGGTGCCACTGAACTGGCCTATGGACAAACTGTGTTTTGTCGAGTGGAAAAAGGATGGTTGGGGCAGAGAGTTCCACAGGTGGAGGCCCAGGGCCCTCGGTGAATCGTCCAGCAGAGCTATCACATAGCACACACTGTGCAGATGAGCACAGGCGCTGATTTCACCTGTAAAACCTCAGCATCCCTACCACCCCGAGCACAAGGCGAACTTCAGTGTTCAGCTATGTCAACCACCATGTGGATTCTGTAGAGATGCTGAAAGATGGCGTGCTCCTCACAAAGAACGACTTCTGGTGTCTTACCTTAAACAGGCAGTCAATGGGAGTTGAAGTCATCTGAGAGAGTAAGCTCATTCTCTGCTTAAGGAACAGTCTGTCACCAAATCCCTCGGACTCCTGCAGGAAAACCCAACAGTCTGTTTTATCCCTCGCTCCTCTTTCCCCCTTTCCCTGAGCCACAGAGCTGACCCTCATCAGGATGGGAGAAGGACTTCCTATCTGTCTCTCCAGAAAGTGGTAGCTCTGATGACCGTTTTTCAGGGGAGCTCTGGGAGAGCGGCGGCACACTGGCTGTGCAGGTGTAGAATGTGTCACCTCTAAGTGTGGAATGTTGCATGCACACACCATCCTCCTGCAGATGGAACCTGGACTGTGCTGGCCTCCTTCTCCTCTCAAGCTTCTGTCCCAGCCTGCACAGCCCTATCCCCTGCCATTTTATCTGCAGTCCACAGGCAGGAAAACCATCGGACAGATGGTCTATATTTCTCTGCCGGGAGCCGTAAGGAAAAAGTCCGGTCTCACTTCCTTGTCAGTTCCACTTCCTGGTTGAGCAAGAGGCCGCCAAGACTGTTATCCCTCACACATTGGAATAGTCAACCAGCTAAGAACAGGTACCCACCGCCCAGTCAATCACCTTGTGACAACCCCCCCTTTTCTTACCCCTCCCCTCCCAGCCTGAGAGCTTATAAACTGTTGTTCTTGAATAAAATTTTGAGGCTTGATCAGAACCCTGTCTTGCCTCTGTTCTTCGCGTTCCTTGTTTGCTTCATTCTCGTAGGTGATTTCCACGTGCCCTCGTTGTTGCCCCACGGGTCGGGGCATTTCTCAATGTCAACCAGCAGGGGAGGGAGGAGTCTTAGTTTTTGAACATATTTATTAAAATAGCAAACAATAGGACCACTGGCTCCAAGTCCAATAGGATACTGTGGTCTACCCAATTAATAAAGTTATGATTACCTAGATAAAAAAAATCTAATAATGTACCCTTACTTTATTTTTCTTTTTTCTTTTTTTAAAAGTATTTTATTGATTTTTTTACAGAGAGGAAGGGAGAGAGACAGAGAGTTAGAAACATTGATGAGAGAGAAACATCGATCAGCTGCTTCCTGCACATCCCCTACTGGTACATGCCCTTGACTGGAATCAAATCTGGGACCCTCCAGTTCACAAGCCGACGCTCTGTCTACTGAGCCAAACCGGCTAGGGCTATTTTTCTTTTTTATTGAACTTATTGGGGTGACATTGGTCAACAAAATTATATAGATTTCAGGTGCACAATTCTATAACAAATCATGTACTGTGTGTTCACTACCTCAAGTCTCCTTCTGTCACCATTTATTCCCCCTGTACCTTCTCCTATCTATCTTTATTTTATAAAATAATTTCTAGTAAGATACTTTAATAATGCTCAGTTGAGCACCTGCTACTAAACTGTCTAATGACAAATTAACTTCCTTAAGTCGTCTTTGGTGGTAAAGGGAATTTTTTTCCAGCGAGTTGCTGCCAGAAGAACTCACCAACCCAGATAAAACTTTAAGATAAGGCCGAAACCGGTTTAGCTCAGTGGTAGAACGTCGGTCTGCGGACTGAAAGGTCCCGGGTTCGATTCTGGTAAAGGGCATGTATCTTGGTTGCAGACACATCCCCAGTAGGGGGTGTGCAAGAGGCAGCTGATCAATGTTTCTCTCACATCAATGTTTCTAACTCTATCCTTCTCCCTTCCTCTCTGTAAAAAATCAATAAAATATATTAAAAACACACACACACACACAAAAAAAAACAAAACTTTAGGATAAGGCTTACAGGTCCAGCTAAAGTTAGAGCTGACAGCATTTTGAGAAGTAAATCATTTCTGGGGTCTACTGTCAAGACTGCCCTCAGAGGATTAACTTGGCAAACAAACACCAACACCTCTAAGACAGTAAGCTCATTCTCTGCTTAAGGAACAGTCTGACAGCATTAGAACCACTTTAGCTCTCCCAGCTGTTATAAGTTATGAGTACTCTGTAGGTTTTTTTTCAGTGATTTATAGCTGAGTAGCTTAGGGTCAGAGAAACATCAAAGACATTACTGTCCAGGTAAATTCAGTGTTCTTTCCTCGACTCTGGGGAATTATCAAGGGCAGCAATGAAGAGAGGCAAGACTTCTAGGACTGAATCTTCAGGGGAAAATGAGCTGCCAGAAGACATAGCATAAGAGAGAAGACCTATTTAGGAATGGGGTGAACACTACTTATTAGAAACCTGATCAAGTGAGAAAAACCAGAGCCTGAAAAGCTAGAGCAGAGGAGGTTACAGATGCTTCCAGGTTCTCTCTCTTGGCTTTTCATCCCATTAATGTGTGTTTTAAAAAAAATATTTTTATTGATTTTAGAGAAGAAGGGAGAGGGATAGAGAGATAGAAACATCAATTATCAGAATAATTGATCAGTTTGCTCCTGCTTGCCCCCTACTGGGGAGAGAATATTAAAAGCAGCAAGAGAAAAACAGTTAATTACCTACAAGGGAGCACCCATACGACTATCAGCTGATTTCTCAACAGAAACTATGCAGGCCAGAAGGGAGTGACAAGAAATATTCAAAATGATGAACAATAAGAACCTACAACCAAGATTACTCTACCCAGCAAAGCTATCATTCAGAATTGAAAGTCAAATAAAGAGCTTCACAGACAAGAAAAAGATAAAGGAGTTCATCAACACCAAACCAGGATTACATGAAATGCTGAAGGGTATTCTTGAAGGAGAGGAAGAAGAAGAAGAAAAGTAAAGGTAAAAATTATGAACAACGAAAAGACATCAAATACATACCTATCAATAAGTGAATCTAAAAATCAAGTGAATAAAAAATCTGAAGAACAAAATGGACTGGTGAACATAATAGAATCAGGGACATAGAAAGGGATTGGACTAACAATTCTCAGGGGGAAGGGAGTCTGAGGAGTGAGGGAAGAGATTGGACAAAAATCTTACACCTATGGATGAAGACAGGGGCGGGGGTAAGAGCATGGGGTGGAGTTGGGAATCAGGTGGAGGGAAGCTATAGGGGAAGAGGGGGGAAAGAGGAACACCTGTAATAATCTGAACAATAAAGATTATAAAAAATAAAAAAATAAAAAGATCCTCAAAATTCACATAGAAATATAATTTCCTCTCCTTAGCCAAAGCTCACCAACCAACCAAGAAAGTAATAATAAGGTCACTGAGTCCTAAAATTGCATACATTAACCTCATTTCCTGCCTATATGGTCAAGATATCCGAAGTCATTGTTTCTAGCTTCCCCTCTGCCCATGTGCTTTTGAGGATGCCGAGGATCAGTGAAGTAGGATATAAACAATGTAAGTCCGGATGAAAATGCACAAACTTTCACAGCCAAATCTGGTTCTCAGTGTGCAGTGTGCTGGGTTGCTTTCCGGGCTCAGGGCCTGTAAACAGCTGAGGCCCCATTCTAAGGAGACCATTTAAAAATTCACCCTCCATACCAACCTCAAATGTGCAATGACACGCCCCAAAGACAGACCAAGGTAGGAGGGGATCTTACCAGCGGTTTAACAGAGAGGCTTCCTTGCCGAATATATTCAATTGCAGCTTCAATTGAGGTCAGGCAGTATCCCAATTCATCTTTTGTCGAGTTGCTAAATCTAAAGTTTTTGATATAACTTAAATTTGCCATCCTAACAAAAGGGAAAAAAAAATGTTTTATTCTTGTATACAAGTAACACTTGCAGAAACAATGCCATTGGCTTAAGTGACTGAACTTGGTTAGCTCCAGGAACACTGATTGCTAACACCTCACTCTCTATTCAGAGTGTGTGTAATTAGGAAATAAATAAAACTACTTGTTATTTTCCTGGAATAGGCTTAAAATATATATATATATATATATATATATATATATATATATATATATATATATATATATATATTATTGATATTGTACAGAGAGGAAGGGAGAGGGATAGAGAGTTAGAAACATCGATGAGAGAGAAACATCCTGCCTCCTGCACTCCCCTACTGAGGATATGCCCGCAACCAAGGTACATGCCCTTGACTGGAATCAAACCTGGGACCCTTCAGTCCGCAGGCCGACACTCTTATCCACTGAGCCAAACTGGTCAGGTAGGCTATTTTTAATTTTTATTTATTTTTAAAATTGATATTTAGAGAGAGAGGGAGGGAACATGTGAGATCGAACCATGGATCAGCTGCCTCCTACATGCTCCCTCCAGGGAATTGAGCCCGAAACCTGGGCATGAGTCCTGATTGAGAATTAAACCGGCAACCTTTCAGTGCACGGGACGATACCCAACCAACTGGGCTGAAATAGGCTATTTTTTTTAGAAAGCTCATTATTATAAAGTGAGCTGTGAGTTCCTTTGGGACCACACAGCTTCCTGCTTAGCCACTGACTAGCTGTATGTTCCAGAATGAGAAACGTAAGCTCTCTGGACCTCCATTTCCCATCTATAAATGGAATGAGAGCCACTCACTGCCAAGTGAAGGTGGAGCAGGCATAGCACCTGTCTCATGAGAGGTGCTCAATTTCCTACCCTGTTTCCTCGAAAATAAGACCGTATCTTATATTAATTTTTTCTCCCAAAGTTGCGCTAGGTCTTATTTTCAGGGGAAATACGGTAGTTATACTTAAACTGCCATTTCAAAAACTATTTTAACAAAAAATATTACCAATTAGGAATCTCTGTTTTCACAAGCAAGTATAACAGGACCGATAGCAGATCATCAGCACACATAGTCTCCAAGTTAACTGCAAGGGGAAACATGTTCAAAGTCATCATGAGACTGAAATGGACCAATAATCCTCTCAACTCCTCATCACAATTCAATCCCAAAACCACAATCCAGTAAGATTAAACATTAGAAATTCGATTGCACAATTTCCTTTACAGTGTCCTGAACAGATGTCAGGTTCAAGGGGAACACAAACGCCTAGCACTCCCATAACATGTATTATACAAGACAAGGGAACTCCAAGCAAACCACCCCTCGCCCCCTTCCTGGATGGGCAAAAGCCCAGGGAGTCAGTGATAGTGGACAAAAAGCAAAGGTGTGCCCAGAGCCACTGCTGAAAGCCTCTTCCCTCCTGAGATCATTTCTGGCTTATGCACTGTGGAGTCCAATGCTGAAGTAGCTATTTTTTTTTTTTAATCCTCACCCAAGGACATGCTTGTAGAGAGGAAAGTATGCCACATACACCACATTTTATTTCATTTAATTTACTTTTAAAATCATTCCCTATCTGCATACACAAACCTGCCTCATTATTTTTTTCTGGGTTATTTTGTTTAACTTTTATACTGGAAAATTTTAAACATATACTAAATGAGTGCAAGCAGTCTAAAGGATATTTGAACCCCTATGTATCCATCACTAGCTTGGCTCATTTCTGAGGCTGTTGTTCCTCTGCCACCATTTTTTTTTTCTCCCCCACCACCCCACCCCCTTCTTCCTCTGCCACCATTTTCTTACCACAGTCATGACACATCTACCCCCATCCCTTTAGTAGGCCCTCATCAGCACAGAACCCAAGGTGCTCAAGCTAGAAGGCTGGGCTGCACACACCAGCCCATCTGTATGGTCCTTTAAGACAGCACTGCTCCTTAACAGACTTCTGCTTCTGGGTGGATGCATCTACCCCCTGCCCGGCCCCTTCCCCAGCACAAACCTCTCTGGCTAGGAGACTGTGTAATTAGCTGCACCACCTTTCGCAAACAAACCAACTTCTGCTGTGGGGAGGTACATTTGTTCAGCTGGGCCAGTTCTCTCTTTGCACGAGGTATGTTGAAGCTGTAAAATAATTTGGCAAATGACAACTGAAGAGCACAGCATAAGAGCCCTTTTTCTCTGGTCTAATAATGTACCTCTGATTTACATTTCTTATAACAAATCTTAGTAATGAAAAATAAAAATAGAAACTCAGAAGCCATCTCACTCAAGTCAGTGGCAAAACACAACAGCTTCAAATGTCTCATTCAGGCTACCTACTGACAGCAGCACCAGAAAATTAGAGGGGGGGAGAGGGGAAGCAAAAGTCCTTAGCCTCAGAATGAAATAGCCCAAAGGGGAAAAATAAGTAGTTTAAACATAAACACTTTAGATATTTTTTTTATCCTGATGAAACTTAATCCAGAAGGAGGTGTCTCTTTGACAGGGTTCCCTCAATGGGCAGATGAGGAAAGCTGTCTCCATGCAGAACCCACCTGGGTGAGCTATGTGCCCACCTAGAGACCAACTGTGGGTAACCACAGCCCCGTTAGCTCCCACCCAGGTGGTACGTGGGCAGACAGTTGCAGGAGGGTGACAGCTACAACATAGTCACCTGCCAGCATCAGCACCTTATCCTTGGTCACAAATAACTGCACTGCTCCTCAATGTGAAGCAAGTCAAACCAGCCTGCCGGCACTGCTGCCGAAGGCCTTGCTTCTGAGGAGGCTGAGCTGCTACAGTGCAAACCCTTACCTGAACTCAGGTTTCACACCAATATCTTTCTGCTGAAGATCTTGAAGGCTTCTTGTGATTTTGTTAAAGGCAGCATCCTAACAACAGATTTTAACGAAGCTTCAAATTTCCTAGAAAGCACAGAATAAGGCTTCCAACCTGGGCGATGCAGATTTAGAACCTACCTCACTTGCCTCCATCGTCCCCACATATTTAAAGATCAGATCATAAATATCGTGTTGGATGTACATCTGTGAAATCAACGAGCCCCAGTTCAGGGTGTGTATGTGGGCAGCAAGGAGCGTTGCAGCACTGCCGCCTTCTCTCCCCTCACTGCCCTGGCCTCTTACCTCTACTGCCTGCTTCATCAGGTTCATCTGAGCCTCATGCCTAGCAAGCATCTTCTAGAAGACAAGAAAAGTAACGTAAAAGTGCTTGGCTTTGCATGTGGGCAAACAGCAATTCTCTCTTTTGAAAGTCCTGCTGCTTACCAGGTGAGAGTCCCTCAGAAGGTGCTGGAGGCATTTGGTGTAGAGCGCATTCACCGCGTCCTAAGTGACAGAGCGGAGAGACAGGTCACTCTCATAATCTGAGGCCATAACACAAAAACCCGGACATGTTGCATGAAGAAAATATTTTACAAAATGTAACAGACTTTAAGTGATTATGCATGCTTATCAACTCAGTGATTTTTTTTTTCAACTTTTTTTTTTTTTTTTTAGTTGTATATGCATTAAAAGTAGAAACAAATCCTTTTGGAGTTAACAAGATGCATACACACACACACACACACACACACACACACACAACATTGATTTCAGAGAGGAAGTGAGAGGAAAAGATAGAAATATCAATAATGAGAGAGAATTATTGATTGGCTGCCTCCTGCATGTCCCCTAATGTGGATCAAGCCCCCAACCCAGGCATGTGTCCTTAACAGGAATTGAACCAGGCCAGTGCTCTATCCATTGAGCCAAACCAGCTAGGGATATACCATATATATATATATATATATATATATATATATATATATATATATATATATATATGTATATGTATGTATGTATGTATTTTAGAGGCCCAGTGCATGAAATTCATGCATGGGGGCGGGGGGGGGGGGAAGAGGAGGTGTCCCTCAGCCCAGCCTGCACCCTCTTCAATCTGGGACATTCCTCTCACAATCCAGGACTGCTGGCTCTCAACTGCCTGCCAGTCTGATCACCCCTTAACCATTCCCCTGCCAGCCTGATCAACACCTAACTGCTCCTCTGCCAGCCTGACTGCCCCTACCCCCCCCCCCCCCCCCTTGCCTGATTGTCCATAACTTCCCTCCCCTGCAGGCCTGGTTCCCCCCAACTGTCCTTCCCTGCTGGCCTGGTCACCCCCAACTGCCCTCCCTTGCTGACCATCTGTGTCCACATGGGGGCAGCCATCTTGTATTGGAATGATGGTCAACTTGCATATTATCTCTTTATTATATAGGATATATTTTTTTAATCCTACCAGAGGATATTTTTTCATTGATTTTTTTTTTTTTTTTTTTTTTTTTTTTTGGTGAGGGGTAGAGTGGAAGGGGAGAGAGAGAGAGAAACATTGATGTGAAAGAGACACATTGTTTGGTTGCCTCCCAATGCACCCTGACTGGGACTGCATGTAGGATGATGCTCTAATCACTTTGCCCACTGTCCAGGGTGATAATATTAATTTTTATACTTCTCTATGATTTTCAAGTTTTCTACAGTGGCTTGTACTACTTTTATAGTTAGAAAGAAATATTTCAAACAAACTTCCAACAGTGGAGGCAGCAAAGCTTCAGAGTAAACTGAGGGATTCTGGGCTCTCAACTGGCCTGAGACCAGGCATGCCTGGCAAAGCAAGACACAGATACTGACTATGTGATGACGGAGGCTCTTCCTTTCACATTCCCTGAATGTTCGCTGGAAAGAGGCAATGTTCTTGTCAAATCTCTCCGAGTGTCTTCCCAAAAACTCTCTCACATCTTCGATGGTTTTCAAGGAAAAGGTATCGGAGGGTGTTGAAGGCTCTTCTGAAAAAGAGACAGAGTCAGGGTGAGTGAAGCTTTCACTGTTTCCTAACAGGGGAAGTGCCACATCCTTTGCCCTGCTTCCCCAGGGGGAAGAGGAGGATGAACTTATTTCAAGATATTGCCCAAGGGCAGCCCAGTTATAAGACAACCTAAGGGTCAGAGAGCCTGGTCCAATGAGACTGTTTTCTGGGACAAAAACTAGACTATCTGGGACCTTGGGCTTGATCTGTGTGGCTCTTGTGAAGAAGCCCTGATACCTGATAAGAGCCTCAGACTACATTTGGCACATTGCTGCCTCAATTTCCTGCAGCAGCTGGAGAATTGTTATTAAAAATAATGAGATGTCAAAGAGGCACCACAGTGGGGCTGGTGGGTAGTAATGCTATAAGAGTTAGCTCTAAAGCTGAGGTCGAAGCAAAGCCAGGGCTACCACTTTGCACAACTCTAAGGGACGACACCCACACTGAGGCCTATGTGAATACTGCCTCCTGGAACTGTCACGTCCAAACTGTGAACCTTCCACAGCAGCCCAGTCCACACCTCAGCTCGAGAAAACCTGATTAAATTCTATGGGGAATTATGTAAATAATTACTCAGCTTTCTTGTGGGCTCTTAAATATTTTATGAGATGTTTGTAACAGTTACGTCTGGAGGAAATTTAATAAATACATTGCTCCAAATCATGAGAAAGGGGTTTTCTTATAGAATACCTGAACTCTCTCTCTTCTCCAAAGGATGGGCTATACACAGCAGGCTGAAACTTTCTTCTTTTTCATTGTAGAAAGTTTCTTCAAAGAGAATGGGCACTGAGAGAAGACAGGCGAAACCAGTTCCTAATTTAATCCTGTTTCCTTGTATAAAGACATCCTAGAACAAGAGAACCATTACTGCACTACTAGCCAGTGGCGACCATTGACCCCTCCGCCTGGTCCCAATACAGTATTTTACCCAACCTGCCCCTCTTTGCTCCAATGTGGCTTTGCAGGAACAGCACTACTCTTATTGATTTTTCACACACACACACACACACACACACACACACACACACACTGACTTGTTGTTCCACTTATTTATGCACTCATTGGTTGATTCTTGCATGTGCCCTAACTAGGGATCGAACCCACAAACTTAACATATATGGATGATGCTCTAACTAATTGAGCTATGGCCATGGGAGGACTACTCTTTAATTTGCTTTTTGATACTAAAATGTTTTTCTTTCCTCTTTGTTCACTCTGTAGTTGTGGCTACAGTAGTATCCTGAGCCTTTTTATATTCTTTGAAATATATTTTTATTTCAGAGAGAAAGGGAGGAGGAAAGGATAGAAACATCAATGATGAGGAGAATCCAAGATGGCTGCTCAGGTAGGCAACTAGCCGCAGCCGCACACAACAATTTCAACAAAATACAACTAAAATATAAAATGGACATTACCCAGAACTACAGGAAAGTCGAATGACTGGAAATTCTACAACAAGAAGCAAGGAGAAAACCAGAAGGAAGCGCGGAGGAGCTGTAAAAGCCCAAGGTACGGAGACACGCGGCGCGCGCGGAGAGGACAGAGCCGGAGAGGAGGGAGGCCGAGTGCCTGGCTGGCGGTCCCAAGCGGGAAGGAGAGAAAAGCTCCAACTGTGCTGGGCCCAGCTCCAACTGCTCTGGACCCCAATTCTAGGCCAGACCCTGGGGACCCAGGCTCATCCATAGGGAGCCGGGCTGTAAGGCGGGACTCCGGGGAAGCCGCGAAAGGAGGTCCCGGAGGCACGCAGACTGCGTGCAGAGAAGGGCCGGCCGGCTGTGCCGCGGGATTGCCCTGACGGGAAGGAGACAGGGGCTCCAGACTGCTCTGAACGCCACCTCCAATCCCACTACCAACTGAACTGAACCCCAATACCGGACTCATTGGGGGAAAGCATAGACAGTTTGGCAGCAGGTGAAAATCGAGGGCACCTTTCTCTCAGAGGCGCTGGCAACAAGTACTGAAGGACCCTGAGTCTCAGGAGTCGCATAGGGCGGGGCTGACGGAAGCCAAGGCTGTAGGCTCCACCCTGAAACCCTGCCCCATCAGGAAAGCTGCCTGCGAAAATGCCTAAACCAAATAGATCACAAACGAAAGAAATGGAGGACAAAAAGCGACTGGATATAGAGTTCAAAACCACACTTATGAGGTTGTTCAAGAATCTCCTAGAAAAGGCCGATAAAATAAACAAGACCTATGAGGATATGAAAAGGGATCAACTAGAAATAATAAGGGATCAACAAGAAATAAAGAATACATTGTCTGAAATAAAAAATATTTTATGGAGTCCTAAAAACAGAATGGAAGATCGCAAGAATCAAGCCAAAGATTTGGAACATAAAGAGCCAGAAGACACTCCTCCGCAGACGCAAGAAGGCCAGAGAATCCAGAAAGTTGAAGATAATGTAAGAAACCTCTGGGACAACTTCAAGCGAACCAACATCAGAATTATGGGGGTCCCAGAAGATGAGAGAGAGCAAGATATCGAAAACATACTGAAAGAAATAGTGACAGAAAACTTTCCCCACCTGGTGAAAGAATTAGACTTATTAGTCCAGGAAGCGCACAGAACTCCAAACAAAAGGAATCCAAAGAGGACCACACCAAGACAAATCATAATTAAGATTCCAAGAGCAAAAGACAAAGAGAGAATATTAAAAGAAGCAAGAGCAAAGAAGGTAGTTACCTATAAAGGAGCACCTATACGATTGTCAGCTGATTTCTCAACAGAAACCATGCAGGCCAGACGGGAATGGCAAGAAATATTCAAGGTGATGAATAGCAAGAACCTACAGCCAAAGATAATCTATCCAGCAAAGCTATCACTCAGATTCGAAGGTCAGATAAAGAGCTTCACTAATAAAAAAAAGCTAAAGGAGTTCATCAACACCAAACCAGAATTATATGAATTGCTGAAGGGGGTTCTTTCAGAAGAGAAAGTAAATAAAGATAAAAATTATGAACAACAAATACGTAACTATCAACAAGTGAATCTAAAAACCAAGGAAACTAAAAAGAAAAAAAATCTGAGGAACAATATTAACTGTTGAATATAATAGAATCAGAGGTATGGAAGGGGAGTGAACTGTTTATTCTTGGGGAAAAGGGGAGAGGGGGATATGGGAAGAGACTGAACATAAACTGTGCACCTATGGATGAGGACAATGGGGGGTGGGGAAAGGGCAGAGGGTGGGGTGAGAAGTGGGGGAAAGGAACATTTGTAATAATATGAACAATAAAAATTTATTTAAAAAAAAAAAGAATACATGTTAGCTTCAGGAAACATTATTTTTTGAATCAATAAATGTTTATGCAAACTTAAATAATAAGTAGCAAAATGTTATAGATTAATAGATTATATAATAATTCTAAACTTCATAGAATTGTTTTGGTATACTAGCATTCTTATTGAATAAAGTGACATTTAGAGAAAAAAAAAAAAAGAAAAAGAAAAAAAGAAACATCAATGATGAGAGGGAATCATTGATCAGCTGCCTCCTGTACATCCTACACTGGGGATTGAGCCCAGAATCCAGGCATGTACCCTGACAATGAATCGAACCCATGACCTCCTTGGGTCCATGCTCAACCAGAGCCACATTGGATGGGCCCTGATCTTCTTTAAATGTTGCAACAGAAGAAGCACTAAGCTGCTTCTCAGAGTAGCAGAAATGACACCCTCCAGGTATGGAAGAGTAGGAAGGCTCTCCTATCTGAACAGAAGACCAAAGTGTCCGGTGTTCAACTGGATGGGACTGGACAATGATGCTGTGTCCGCTTTGAGGCTCATCACTCTGGCCATGGCCAGGGAGCCCATGGCAGACCCGCTGTAATAAGCCTGACTGCTCTGCTCTTTGTAGATCTGGGTACCCCAAAGAGAACAAAAAACTAACAAGGGACTGGCAGCTGTGGTGAGCAGATCTCTGGCAGGAAAACAGTGGCATGCCTCGTGAGCCACTGGGCTGCTGACCTCCAAGCCAGTGTCCAGGTCACTCCATGCCCCATCACTCCTCTTCCCCACAGTGCCTACTGCTGCTGGGTTGGAGGGTCCTGACTAGGAATGGAACCTCCCACTGTCAGAACCTACCTGTTTACACTTAAAAAATAAGAAAATGCATACTCCAAAGTTAACTCTGACAATGAAATAGATGGACATCATGTGCCCCCTGAAGTGATACACTGAGGAAGATAAAATACCCTGTGGAAGCAATCCTACCAGAAACGATAACTGCTAATCTAATCATGAGGAAACATCCGAGGGCCCACACGGAGGGAGAGTCCCCAAAGCAAAACAGAAATGCCAGTGTCATGAGAGACAGACTGAGAGCCTCTTGCAAAAGAAGAAAACTAAAAATGCGTTCTGTGACCCTGGGTCTGAAAGGAGAGTATTAGTGCAATTAGCATAGCTTGTATAAGAGCTAGATGTTGGAGGACAGTACTCTATCAATGTTAACTTTTCTGAGTGTGATCACTGTGCTCTGGTTATGTAGGAAATACAGACTGAATTATTTTGAAGTAAAGGGACATGGTTTATGAAACATTTTCTGAAAAAGGTTTAGAAAAAGTAGTAGTATAGTGATAAAAAAAAGTATTATGCATAGTGATAAAATAAATGTGGCCATAATGTTAATAGTTCACCAATCTAGGGGAAGGGTATAGAAGAGTTCTTTCTACTTTACTGAAACTTTCTGCAGGATTGAGATTATTTCTAAACAAAATTGTGTGTTTTTAAAAAATATATTTTTATTGATTTCAGAGAGAGAAAGGGAGAGGGAGAGAAGATAGAAACATCAATGATGAAAGAGACATGCCTCTTGCATGTCCCTTCCTGAGAATCGAGTCCATGACCTGAACTTGTGCCCTGACCAGGAATAAGGACCTCCTGGTTCATAGGTCATTGCTCAACCACTGAGCTATACCAGCCTGGCTCAAAACAAAGTTTAAAAAAAATTAAACTTCATCCCTGATCTCCAATTTGTGGCCAAGAAACCAATGAGCTCTCAATGTCACAGGGATATAATAGCTTGCTTTGCCAGGACCTTAAGGAAGAGATATCACTGGCAGGAAACCCACAGGCTGAGGAAGAGATGCCCAGCCAAGGCCCTGCTCAGCTCTGCCATCTCCTCTTTCCTCAAAGGCAGCGGGCCCTCCAATCCCATCCCACAGGGCTGATGTGATAAAGCCATCATTTAGCATAGATGTGAAAGGGCGACAAGCAGGATTCTCTCCCCTCCAGCCCACCCAAATACTGAGTGAGTAACCCTGGTTGACCCACAAAGAAATGAATACCTTTCCATTTAAGGTCTGAAAGTGTTCTTCCACTGGTTTCAAAATATAGGACTCAAACTGACAAGTAGACTGAACATTGCTTGTTAGGCTTCCTTTGCAGGGTACTAAGACCTGGAAAAAAAAAATAATTAGAGTGAATACTAGAAATGTGTCATTTACAACTTCAGCAGAACAGGATGCATCACAAAATATTCCAGCTGGAACTGTTGTGGGGACCTACTGCAGAGATAATGCCCGGTTCACTTGCCAACACGGCAGCAGGTGATGCTAGCAGGCTCAATCTGTTGTCATTGTGATGGAGCCCAATCAGAGGGAGATAGTTCCCACCCTGTAGGGTCCCTCCCCACAACTGGACTGGGTGCCCCACTCAGTCATCAATTGGCTCCTGAATGTTCCAGATGGAGAGAGGATAGTTTAGAAAGCACAGAAAAGTGACACTAATAAGTCACATGTATTCCCACACCTAAATGACAAACACTGCACATGAGGACAGTTTCCTTCCCATCTTCCTTCCATGTTTGTTTTTAAGACCAGTTGTGATCACAGTTGTAACACAAGTACAGAAACTCAGTTTCTTATTTCACACTGTCACCTCCACCAGAGATGCCTCAGTGTGCCAGACCCTGGCTTGGGGGAAGGTGCAATCTGAAACCTGAATTTTTAGTCCAACAGCGGCTACCTCACTGACCAGACACCAGCTCCTCAGCTCCATGCAGCACAGGAAGGAGTTTGACTCAAAATGCCTGCTGCCCTGGCACATGGATCTATGCTTAGCTCAGGGACTCTCAGACTCCAGTGTACCCAGAAGGAAGATGACCCAAAGCAGCTAAGTCATTCAGAGCCCCATCTCCTAAAGCAGCCCAGCCAAAAGCAAGCGGCTTCTGCGCTATCCCCACTCTACACAAGAGGAAAGTGAGACTCCGAGTTACATAACTTGCCCAGGGTCACACGGCCAGGGGGTGGCAGAGCCACATTTCTGACGCCAGCCGCCCTCCTATCTGCTGCCTCGTGGAAGCACTGCCCAGCACCTCCTGCACTTTCCTCTGCAGACACCATGGAACTCGGGGGCCTCTGGGAGCAGCGGTCTTCAGGAGCTTCCTCAGGGAGTCAGAAAGAGCAGTGCAGCCTCTCTCCCCACGGAGACACCCCAATCCCCCACAGCAGGAAAGGGAGGCACTGACTGATGGAAGAACTCAAGCCTGTCCACGAAGTGGCCTTGTCCTACCTCTAAAAATCAAGACTGAACCAGATCAAGATATAGATTTAACTACCAATTTCAGGAAATACAGAGAACAGAGGGCCATGTTAAATACCACTACACGCCTGAAACTGGCAAAAGCCAGATCTACAGAATAAATGACCAAAGAAAGAAAGAAAATTAGAAGAAAAAGTTAAAAAGAAACTGAAGATTGCACATTAAGTTTTGTGCAGTTTAGTGTACTTCAGTTTAGCTCAATAAAGTTAGGAGGAAAATGCCGAGACCGGTTTGGCTCAGTGGATAGAGCGTCAGCCTGCGGACTGAAAGGTCCCAGGTTCGATTCCGGTCAAGGGCATGTACTTTGGTTGCGGGCACATCCCCCAGTAGGGGGTGTGCAAGAGGCAGCTGATCTATAATTCTCATCGATGTTTCTAACTCTCTATCCCTCTCCCTTCCTCTCTGTTAAAAATCAATAAAATATATATTAAAAAATAAATAAATAAAGTTAAGAGAAAAAGAGAGACTTATCAATTCAACATAATGTGTGGATCTCCTTTGAATCTTGATTTGAACAAACCAATTGTAAAACTAACAAAAAAATATGAGCGATTTGGGAAATTTGAACAGGACTAGCCATTAGATAACGTTGAAGAAATATTGAGGCCCTAGCTGATTTGGCTCAGTGTATAGAGCGTCAGTCTGCAGACTGAAGGGTCCCAGGTTCAATTCCAGTCAAGGGCACATGCCTGGGTTGTGGACTCAATCCCAGTGTGGGGCTTGCAGGAGGCAGCCGATCAATGATTCTCTCTCATCATTGATGTTTCTATCTCTCTTCCTTCCTCTTTGAAATCATCAATAAAAATATTTTTTTAAAAAGAAACATTTAGTAATATTTTTAGCTGTGATAATGGCAATGCCATTTTTATATTTTTAAACGATAAGAGCCCTTATCATTTAAAAATATATTCCTAAATATTTACAGATGAAATCCTATGACTACCTTATATAATTTTCTAGGATTTGCTTCAAAATAATCCATGGCTGAGGATGCAGGGCAGGAGGCGTAGAAATGGTATGTGACTGATCACTGCGATGGTGCATAATAATATTATTCTTTCCACTTTCATGTGTTTGAAATGAAACATAATTTAAAATTTTATTAACAAGAAAAGGAAGGTCCTCAAGTATGAGCCTGGATTGAGAAACCTCAAGGCTCCCAGAAGACCTCATGGCAGAGTGAGCACAGAGAGAAGGAAGATCCTGGGGGCCTGGAAGTCTGCCACAAGCAAGGGAACGCCACAGACCAGACACAGGGGATGCGGGATGCCAAACTCAGAGAGGCCCTTCCTCGTATGGACCCAGTCCAGCTCTGTGCATGAAGGAGTCTCGTGGTCCCGTTAGAAGGGCCTCTGAGGATCAGGAACTTCTGAGGTGCTTGGGGGAACTCCACCTCAAGGGTGAATATATTCTATTTCCTTGTTACGAAAGCCTCCTCCACCTCCCTAACTTGCATAGAGTATGATTGGCTCCCACTGCACTATAACCTTATTATCCAGCACATGGCTCGAAGTATAGAACTGCCCAATCAATGTCTGTGGAGTGAATAGAGGGTCCTCCAACTTCAGGCCCTTCCCCCACGCCCCCAGTTTTCAGGCAGACAAGGCTGCCCAGAGCATTTCATTGCAAGCAGAAGCTAGAGGGTGAGTCCTGAGTCCTGCTGCGTTTGGGGGTGGGGGTCAAGTGCCTCAGAAGCTGCCCAAGGCCGACACTCTATCTACTGAGCCAAAAACGGTTTCGGCTTTATTTATTTTTTTACCCTCACCTGAGGATATGTTTTTATTGATTTTAGAGAGGGGAGAAGAAAGAGAGAGAAACACATTGACATGAGAAACATCGATTGCTTGCCTCTCGTATGCTCCCCCACCAGGAATCGAACCTGCAACCTTTTGGTGTACGGGATGATGCCCCAACTGCGTCACCTGGCCAGGACCACAGTGTGGCATTGAAAAGCACCTGAAACTTACATATGTTATCTAGACAGTACTTATTAAATATAATAGAACAAAGATGGGAAGGAAATATTTTCCTAATTAGGTTAAGCCCTCCCAGTCAACATGATTGCTTTGCATCCCATACCTTTTCTCTATGACACTTACCATCTCTCCCACTAGAATTTAAATTCCATAAGGGTAAAGATGATGAAGTATATTCATATTTTTTGTTGAATTCCCAGCATCAAACATAGTACCTTGCCTAGAAAAGCATTTAATAACTAGTGTGAAATGAATAGATAACAATGACTGTCTCTAGTGACCTTTCATGAGATTTTTATTTTCTTCTTTGGCAACAGCTGTATTCCCCAACTGTTTTTTTTTTTTTTAAAATCTTTATTGTTGAGAGTATTACAAATGTCCCCCCACCCCTTTTCCTCCCATTGCCCCCTCCACCTGGGTTTCGCCCCACCCTAGGCCTTCACCACTCTATTATCTGTGTTCATAGGTCATGCATATATGCATATAAGAACTTTGGTTAATCTCTCCCTGCTCCCTCCCCTTCCCTCTGAGATGTCTTTGTCTGTTCTATGTTTCCATGCCTCTGGTTCTATTTTATTCATCAGTTTATTTTGTCCATTAGATTTCTTGTCTGTTTGACTTTTAAATTCAGTTGTTGACAAGTATGTGTTTATTATAATTTTATTATTCATATTTTGGATCCTCCTCCTCCCTGCCCCTCTTCTTCTTCCTCTTAAAGAATACTCAACATTTCATGCAATACTGATTTGGTAGTGATGAACTCCTTCAGCTTTTCCTTGTCTGTGAAGCTCTTCATCTGACCTTCAATTCTAAATGATAGCTTTGTTGGGCAGAGCAATCTTGCTATTCATCACTTTGAATATTTCTTGCCAGATTTATTCCCTTCTGGACTGCAAAGTTTCTGTTGAGAAATCAGCTGACAGTCTTATGGGCACTCCCTTGTAGGTAACTGACTGCTTTTCTCCTGATGCTTTAAAGTTTCTCTTTTTGTCTTTAATTCTTGGCATTCTGATTATGGTGTGTCTTAGTGTGTGCCTCTTTGGATTCCTCGTTTGGGATTCTCTGGGCTTCCTGGATTTGTAAGTCTATTTCTTTCACCAGGTGGGGGAAGTTTTCTGTCATTATTTCTTCAAATAGGTTTTCAATATTTCATGTTCTCTCTTCTCCTTCTGGCATTCCTATAATGTGAATGTTGGTACTCTTGCAGTTGTCCCAGAGGCTCCTTACACTATCTTCATATTTTTGGATTCTTTTTTATTTTTGCTCTTCTGAATAGGTATTTTTTGCTTCCTCATATTCCAAGTTGTTGATTTGATTCTCAGAATCCTCTATTCTCCTCTTGAATCCATGTAAATTATTCTTTATTGCAGTTAGTATATGCTTAATATCTGACTGGTTTTTTTTTTTGGTTTTTTTTTGACTGGTTCTTTTATATGTCTTTGACATTCTCACTAAGATCCTTGAAAGTCTTACTAAGTCCACTGAAGCTCCCATTAATTCACTTCAAACTCTCATTAAAATCCTTGAGTAAACTTGTAATCATTAAATTCTATATCCAATAGTTTGCTTGCTTCCATTTCTTTTACTTGTGACATGTTTCTTTGTCTCTGCATGTTAGCTGCTTCCCTGTATTTGTTTCTCTATATTAGGTAGAGCTGCTATGTCTCCTGGAATTAGCCTTGTTTAGTAAGTGTCCTGTAGGGCCCAGTGGCTCAGTTTCCCTAGTCAGCTGAACCAGGCACTCTAGGTAGGCTCATTTGTGCACAGACTTGAAGTTGAGCCTTGACTTTTTCTTGTCTGTGAAGCTTTTTCCAACTGTTTTTAAAAAATATTTTTAAAATATGTTTTTATTTATTTCAGAGAAGAAGAGAGAGGGAGAGAGACAGAAACATCAATGATGAGAAAGAATCATCAATAGGCTATATCCTGCATGCCACTGAGGATAGACCTTACAACCCGAGCATGGGCCTTGACCAGGAATCGAACCATGACTTCCTGATTCATGGGTCAACACTCAATCACTGAGCCAAACTGGCTGGATTCTCCAACTGTGTGTGTGTTTTTTTTTTTTTTTTTTTTTTTTTTTAATGTTTTTATTGATTTCACAGAGAGAAAGGGAGAGAGAGAGAAAGAAACATCAAGGATAAGAGGGAATCATTAATTGACTGCCTCCTGCACCCCCAAATCCCCACTAGGGATTGAGCTTGAAATCCAGACATGTGCCCTAACTGGGAATCGAACAAGTGATTTCCTGGTTCATGGGTGGATGTTCAACCACTGAGCTCTCTATTTTTACAATGAACTTTATGACTTCTAAAATCAATAGTAAGCCCTAGCTGGTTTAGTTCAGTGGATAAGAGTGTCAGCCTGTGGACTGAAGGGTCTTAGGTTCGATTCCAGTCAAGGGCACATGCCCAGGTTGTGGGCTTGATCCCCAGTAGAAGACGTGCAGAAGGCAGTCAATTAATGATTCTCTTTCATCATTGATGTTTTTCTCACTCTCCCTTCTTCTCTGAAATTATTAAAGATATATTAAAAAATAAAAATAAGCCAACCGGTTTGGCTCAGTGGATAGAGCGTCGGCTTGTGGACTGAAAGGTCCCGGGTTTGATTCTGGTCAAGGGCATGTACTTGGTTGCGGGCACATCCCCAGTAGCGGGTGTGCAGGAGGCAGCTGATCAATGATTCTCTCTCATCGATGTTTCTAGCTCTCTACCCCTCTCTCTTCCTCTCTATAAAAAATCAATAAAATATATTTAAAAAATAAAAAAAAAATAAAAAAAATAAAAATAAGCCCTAGCTGGTTTGGCTCAATGGATAGAGCGTCAGCCTGTGGACTGAAGGGTCCCAGGTTCAATTCCGGCCAAGGGCACATGCCTAGATTGTGGGCTTGGTCACCCGTAGGGGGCGTGCAGGAGGCAGCCAATCAATGATTCTCTCTTATCATTGATGTTTCTATCTTTCTCTCCCTCTCCCTTCCTCTCTAAAATCAATAAAATATATTGAAAATAAATAAATAAAATAAAAATAAAAATAAGCCCTAGCCAGTTTGGCTCAGTGGAAAGAGTATTGACCTGAGGACTGAAGGGTCCCAAGCTTGATTCCAGTCAAGGGTACACGCCTGGGTTGCAGGCTCAATTCCCAGTTTGGGGTATGCTGGAGGCAGCTGCTCTCATCATTGATGTTTCTATCTTTCTCGCCTTCTCCCTTCCTCTCTGATAATATATATATAATATACTTTTATTTACTAAAATTTAAAAACAACAACTTTAGATAAAATGTATGAATCACAAAGCCAATCATAAAAATCAAAAGGGACTTCAAGAAATCAGGCTTTTGATAAACTGGGTGGACTGGGTGGTGTGAAAGTCAGTTGCAATTTTTCAGAGGGCAGCTGAGAACCTGACATCATTGGGCTAAAGTGACTTCTCCTTTGGTTCAAATCCACAGCCTCCTGACATGCCTGAGTAAAATCACACCCCATGGCAGGAAAAGCAGGAACATAGTATGAGAAGAGGACAACACACAGAAAGAAGACTCCTCAAGCACAGGATGGCCCAGAGGCGCCCACACACTGTGTCCCACTGTGCTGTGTAAGACAACCTCAGAACTGGACAGACCTGCAGTGTGAGGCCTGCCTTCTCGCCAAGCAACAAGGCCCCACAGACAGACTACAGTCTCTCTTGCACACTTCCCTCATTCCTGTTACCTGGCTGCCGTCAAGGTGTTTGAGGTTGTGGCCCCTATTTTAAACATTCCTTCACTGCAGAAAACGCCTTTGGAAGTGACATGGGAATGTGTTCACAGATTCTCTTATTCTATAGGAGTGAGCGCCCACCTCACACCAGGACTCATGAAGCCCTGAGAAGGAATGTCATTTCTGTCCTCAATAGCCCTCACGGTCAACATGGAAACAAAAGAATCAGAGGTGAACACCATGAGACCTGTGTCAACATGGACTGAGAGTGCAGAAAAAAGATCACACCCTGGGTTGGTACTTGTTCATACCGAGTACAGTCTGGGGCTTGCATAGGTTTGTAGCTGATTCCATATAAACTTAACTGAAGCCTACTATATTTCTGGCCTCACCAGCACTACTTGGTCCATAGCTAATGGAAAAGGACAACCCTAAGGGTTGATGCACTTACAATGCCATGAAGTTGGGCCACCTTGTTGCACAAGTCAGGACGCCACTTTTGAAGGGCCAGGTAGAAAGGGTTTTTCAGGAGATCCTCATCATAAAGAGCCATATGGACTTCAGATGGGGCAAAGCGAGATCCTGGGACAAGGGAGAAAAAGGCAGTAAATGACCACCGTCGGATTCATAAAACACATGCAAGTCTGGATCTGGCAATTTCTAAAAATGGTCCTTGACACAGTACTCTACACACCTAACATCCCAGCACGAAATGTCAAAGATAATCCATCAGTTCTAGCATGACGTGTTTTCACTGGTTAAATGTATAAATTATGTTCAGGAAATTAAACTCCAAGTCACTGCAAATGTGAAAGTGGTTCTTGTTTAGAACATCCTACATGACTAAAATTATGACATTTTATTAAAGATATGCGGGTATTTTTAATCAAATATTTTAAGCATAAAGAAAAGTAAAAACAGAAACTACCACCCAGAATTACCAATACTTAACACTTTGCCATATTTGCCTCAAACTTTATTTAAGAAAGAGTCTATCAGAACAGACTGGACCCCTGCTGTGCCCATCCTGATCCCATTCTCTCCTCCCCTTCCAGAAGCAGCCATGATCCTGGAGTTGAATATCATTTCTGTTTACATTATTATTCCTTTAACACTTATATATTCATAAATAAACTAGAATATTGTTTTATGTGGCTCAAAATTTACATAAATGGCATCACAGTATAAGTATTCTGGAACATATCCTTTTCAATCAACATTACATTTGCAAGTTCTACCCATGCTGATCCACACAGCTCTCATTCATTCAGATTTTTGTATAATATCTTTAAGTAAACATGACACAATTTATTTATCTAATATCCTATATTTAAGTTGTTTCTACATTTCTATTATTACAGACAATGCTGGAATGACCACTCTGTACCAGACTACACATCTAGGAATGTCCCAAGGAGGCACTATAGGGCAGATCCACCTGTACCATCACCAGATGCTGGCAAGGCCTTGTGCTCAGGATTTATAGTTATTTATATATCTGGATATTAAAAAATGCTGCAAATATCTTCTCTCAATCTGAAACTGTCTTTTCATTTTTTCAAATGGGTGTTTTCAGATATCAAAGTGTTTGATTTTTTTAATTAAAAAATTTTTTGTTTGTTAATCCTCACCCAAGGTTGTTTTTCCATTGGTTTTTAAAGAGAGTGAAAGGGAGGGAGAGAGAGAGAGAAACATCTATGTGAGAGATATATTTCGATTGGTTGCCTCCTGTGCATGCCCTGACCAGGGCTGGGGATCAAGGTAGATGCCCTTGATTAGTATCAAACCTGGGACCCTTTAGTGTGAGGGCCAATACTATCTACTGAGCTAAAGTCATTGAAGTGTTTGATTTCTTTTCTATTTTTTTTTTTTTTAATTGGCAGCAGGAAGGGCACCAGGGGTCTGACTGGTGGGGTCAGACCAAACCTGGGTTCAGCAACCTCAGAACTTGGGTTCCGGCTAGGAAAGAATTCAGAGGAAGACCCAAACTGTAAGAGAACATTTATTTGGTAAATTATAGAGGTAGAAGTAGCTCGTAGAAGAAATTGGTTTAGAAAACGAGTTATTGAGATAAAGAAAGGGCCCTTGGAATGGGTAAAGTGCCAGGGGAAGGGGGAGGGGTAGGAAAGGCACTGGCTTCTCCCTGGAGGGAGAGCACCAGTGAAGTGTTTGATTTTATTTTATTTATTTTTATTATTTTATTTATTTATTTATTTATTTTGAAGTGTTTGATTTTAATGTAGTTGAACTTGTCAATCTTTGCCTTAACAGTCAGAGCTTTTACGATTTTAGGGAATCTTATAATCTGGCATGTCTCTTTGCAAAGGGACTTAACATTCCCCCAATCAGAAAGTGGTGTCTACTTCCTCACCTCTTGAGTCTGACTCAGCCATGAATTGCTTTAACCAGCTAACAGAATTGATACTGTGTGATTTCTGAGGGTTGACCTCAATAGGCCTTGCAGAGTCCACTCTCATTCTCTTGGTGTCCTGAGTCTACTCTGCTATGAAGAAGCCCATGGGATGAAAGACCATCAAATAAGACAGAAGCCCAGGTGGTCCAGAGAGCACAGCTATCCCACCAGCTGAAGAACCACCTGCCACCCCACAGAACAGTAGGAAGTAATAAAATGTGGCAGATTAAGCTACTAAGTTTTAGGCTGATCTGTTATGCAGCAAAGGCTATCCCTGAAACCACATCCTTTCCAATACCAAGGCCATAAAAATTGTCCCTATAACTTCTAAGAATCCTTAAAACTTTTTCATTTTTAGGTGGTCTTTATATTTATACTAATGGCCCAGTCTGGCCTGTGTACCTGTCATAGTGCGGGAGCCCTCCATTCCATTGTCCCAAAGGGGTAGGCCCCGCCCACCCATCCAGGGTTCCTCAATGGATTGCCCCAAAGAGGTAGGACTGAGCTAAGGGTCCTGCCTCCAAGCCATGTGGAGCTGTGGGACCCTTAAGCCTTGCCACATGAAGGTCTCCACTGGGCCCCAGGCCTCCTGATGATGGACTGTGACAACGTGATGCAAGTCCCTGCCCACCCATGCCTGCTGCACATTGGTCATTATGTGTGAGGGCATCCTGACCATTAGCATATCAGCTCTTTATTATATAGATGTTATAAATCAGACATCTAATTTAATTTTTTTTCCATAAAGCAAATTGTCAGTTTGTTTGGAATGCTATGACAGAACACCATAGACTAAGTGGCTTAAACAACAAAAATTTATTTCTCACAGCTTTGGAGACTAGGAAGTCCAAGATCAAAGTGCCAACAGATTTGGTTCTTGGTGAGGGCCCACTTCCTGGATTGTAGACCTTCTCACTGTATTCTCACATGATAGAGAGAGAGTATCCCTGTCTCTTTCTCTTTTTATAAGGGCATTAATTCCATAATGAGGGCCGTACCTAACACTAATTAGATCCCAATGTCCCACCTCCAAATACCATATTAAGGATAGGGCTTCAACATATAAATGGGTGTGTGTGTGTGGACGGATGACATAACAATTATCCAATTATGTTTTTTTTTATGTTTTTATTTTATTTATTTTAGAGAGAGAGAAAAAGATAGAAACATCGATGTAAGAGTGTAACAGCGATTGGCTGCCTCCTGCACACTCCCTATGAGGGATCAAGCGTGCAATCTGGGCTTTCAGTGCACAGGACAATGCCTAACCAACTAAGCTTCGTCGGCCAGGGCCCCATCATTGTTTTCTAAATAATCTATCCCTTTCACATGGCTGATAATGCTATTTTTGCCATACTCCAATTTCCCATACATGTTTCCTCTGTTTTTAGGCTCTATTCTGTTTCAATGATCCAGACCAGTGCTGTCCAACAGATGTATGTAGAAAATATAATAACATACATATTATGCATAGTTACATATGTAATTAAAAATTTTCTAGTAGCCACATAAAGAAAAAAGGGAAATTAATTTTAATAATATATTTTACTTATCCTATGTTCAAAAGATTAATTTTTAACATGTGACCAATATTTTAAAGTTATTAAAGACATATTTTACATTATTTTTTTATCCCTACTAAGTCTTCAAATTTTACGTTTATAGCACTTCTCAGTTTATACTAGCCACATGTGCTTAATAGCTGTTATATTGAACAGAGCAGGGCCACATTATGTTATGACTACAGCTTCACAATCTGCCTTAATATCTCATAGAGAAAGACCTCCCTCCTTGTTCTCCAAAATTGTCTGGTTATTCCCAATTGTTTGTAATGTCATACGAATTAGAATCAGTTTATCAATTCCATGAAAAATTCTGTTGGGATTTTTATTGAAACTACTAATTTGAGGACAAGAGAGTCAATATCTTTATAATAATCTTATTATCCATGAACATTGTATGGTGTGTCTTTCCATGAACATCTTCTTCTATGTCCTATATAAAGACCATATATAACCCAGCCAGTGTGGCTCAGTGGTTGAGCATTGACCTATGAACCAGGAGGTTAGGGTTAGATTCCTGGTCAGGGCACATGCCAGATTACACGCTTGATCCTCAGTAGGGGGCATGCAGGAGGCAACCGATCAATGATTCTCTCTCATCATTGATGTTTCTCTCTTTCTCTCCCTTTCCCTTCCTCTCTGAAATCAATAAAAATATTATACAAAATATCATATATAACTTTTATTAACGTTATTTATATGTTCTGTATAAATTTGTTCCTTTTATGAATGGGAACTCCATTGTCCCTGGGTTGCGGTTTTTACTGAGTTCTCAGAGAGGAATATGAAAAATGGGCACAGAAAAGGAGTCAGAGGTCTAGCCATGTCACTGTATCTCTTGAGTCTCCATCTCACTCTGTGCAATAGAGAATACAAATATCTTTCTTACAGGATTTCCATTTCCATTCCTCCCTCATCACTTTTGCCATCCTGCATACGAAAGTACCACCACTTACTGCTAGCCCACATGGTCCCTCTGTGAGGATTAAAAAGAAATACCAGGACACATGGGTTGATAAATAGCTAACAGGCTACATATCAGCCCGTTTCCCACAGTGCCCCTCTCCCAAGCAGAGTAACTTTTACAATAAATAACCTGCACATTGCACACTATAGCTCTATTGTTAATGTTTGACATTTTCCTTTAAAAATCTACTCCCTTTTAAAAACTTATTTAAAATTTATTTTAAAAGAATATTATACCTAAATGAAAAAAAATCAGTATCAAATTCCATAAAAAGAAGATAAACTTAAAATTAAAAGTTATAAGAACAATTCACACTATTTAAAACCTTGCTAGATACTATTGCCTAGCAAAGGTTCTGAGCTCAAGCCTGTGGCTTCTTCGTTAAAAAGAAAAAATTAGCCCTAGCCGGTTTGGTTCAGTGGATAGAGTGTCAGCCTGTGGACTGAAGGGTCCCGGGTTCAATCCTGGTCATGGGCATGTATCTCGGTTGCAGGTTTGATCTGGGCATGATTGGGGGGCAACCAACCAATCGACGTTTCTCTCTTACATGTTTCTTTCTGTCTCTTTTCAAAATTCAATGGAAAAATATCCTTGGGTGAGGATTAACAAAAAAGAAAAAGAAAAAGAAAACTAGCAATTA